CGGACACCGTATAATTTGGTGCACCCCGCTCTTCCCCAGTAGGGGCCACCCTCAGCAGTCCTGGGCTTAAAAATGTCAGGACCACTTCGTCGAGGGCTTCCTAGACTGAAGCACGACCCTCAGATCGGGCCTCGCCTTAGAAGCCCCCGACTTAGAGCGCCGCCGTCCTCTGTCCCGCTGCGGTGGAGCGCGAGGGGCAACGCTCTGTTTTTGGACCTCCCTGTATGAGGAGCTGGTACCCGGCCTATAGCACGGGCGGTCTCCTTGGTGGCGCGGAGAGCTAAATCAGCGGTTCTATTCAGTTCTAAGATGTCATCTGCTTTGACTTGCTCGCCTTCATCAAGCTCTTTTAGCAGGTCGGCTTGGTACGCCTGTAACACTGACATAGTGTGCAGGCACGCACCAGCCTGACCCGCTGCCGAGTCCCCCTTGCCCACCAGCGCTGAAGTGGTTCGCAGCGGCTTGGTGTGCAAGACCGGAGCCTTCAGAGACGATGCCGCGCCGGGCGACCGAAAGCTTGCAAGCGTCTACTCTACCCGGGGCATCGCTCTGTAACCACATTCACCCAGCCCCGCCACATTTCCATAATAATCAGAGGCGGGGATGAATAAGCGGGCCGAGAATGGTTTCTTCCACGATCTCGACACCTCGGTGTGGAGATTGGGAAAAAACGGCAGGCTCCGGCGCGCAGGTAGCGGCTTAGCACGCAGAAAGCGTTCATCAAGTTTACTTTTCTGCGGTTCAGCCTGTTTCTCTGTGGGCCACTCGATGTTTAGCTTGGCAAACGCACAAGTAACTACCTCCAATAGCTCCTCATATTGTGGGGATTGAGGGGGCGAATCCTCTACGCTTTCCACATCAACCTCCTCGGAGGAAGATAGGAGAAGCACCGAGCCCGCTCTCCGGGGGGAAGAAACCGCAGAACTGGCTTCCGATCACAGAGAGTGGGTAGTGGATCTGGCAGGTGAGGAAGAAGATAGGGACTCGCCCGTCTCCATTCCCTCCACCAGATCCAGCTGCGAACCCCACGAGTGCAGCTGCCGCTCGCCTCGGCGGAAGCGGGGCCAGCACCGTGAGGAACGCTGGTGAAGGCTCCCTCCTCAAAGAAAGCCTTCCGGGAGCGAAGAAAATGCAGTGGCAACTGCTCACAATGCGGACAGTCGGCCCCCTCGAGAGCCGACGCCGCGTGCTCCGCTCCCAAGCAGACCACGCACAAACTGTGTGTCTCCCCGCTCGTGATGTAGCGTGGGCAGGGAGGAACACACAGTCTATAACGCGATCTGCTTTCGCCTTTGTTTGTCTTTACTTTTGCTTTTGCTTTAGACATGCTGGAGCTTTATGCTTTTTTTGCTGAATGCTTTGTGTAACTTTGGACAGACAACAATAAATAAGACTCACAGAACATAGATCGTGACCGACACACACAGAGAGCTTTGCTGAATGACAGAAAGCTAACGCCAGCTGCACCTCACGTGCTTTTAAAGCTTCCTGGTCATGACGTCACCTGCCTCTGACGTCTCGCCCATCGATTGGACTGATTACACATATGATTCAGAGCTTGGTATCGCTGAAGGCATTCCCCTAGCGTTTTCTAACGCAGCTCGAGTTCCCGAAGGGTAACTAACACCTTATATAGTTTACAATATATTCTACTGTTTTTTGATATGATTTGCCTCCAGCTGCAGACATCTGTGCTAAAATTTAGTATGATACAGAATACTATATTTGCAGTAGTGTCGAACTTAAATACTAAAAAACAATCATTTTTAAAAATATGCTGTTGTAGCTATCTCCTCCTAATCTAAAAATATCTGCTACTTGTATCAGGATGTAGAAATGTAAAACCAACAATTATGATTTTCATACATAATTTGAAATAATTAGAAAAGATTTGTCTTTTTATTAATATTTTTAAATTTCCATTCCAGGTTATTGGTCTGCTTTTGAACACAATTCACTTGTTGCTTGGCAGATGAATCTCCATTTTGTTTTGTTTTTTATTTATTCAGATTTTTTTCATGTATAGTCCTTAGATTATTTAGTCTTGATCCTTAGATTGCCTGTTAATAATTTTTTAATGTTCTGTGTTCTGTGAATTCTCATCTGTAGTTTTTTGTTGTTGTTGGACTGTACTTTGTTAGTGGATTGTCTCAATGAGCCCTGGCATATGTGATGAGGCATATGTGATACTCTCCAGTTCTCATTTTCTGTACGGTTTGCATTTCCTGACATTTTCCTTCTACAGATTCCCTCCCGTCGCATGTCATGTCCGTCATGGAATGAGACTGCATGCCCTACATTCGACCATGACCTCCAATAACTAATTCTGTCTTTATTTTGTCTTTCTTTTCCCATTTTGTTCTCTATTTGCACACTGTTTTATCTTCTCTGCCTGTTCTAACACCATCAAACAAAACCCGCCAAAAACAATCCCGATTTTAACTAATTGAAAAACTTCCAAATCTAACTGAAACTTTGGCTCCTCCTTCGTCCATTACCCTCGCTGGCTTCTAAAAGGCATATTACAGGAGACAAGACCTAGCTGTGGACCGGGACAGTTGGGACCTGCAGCGGGAGGTGGTACGACAGCGCTCCTTGCGCTCCCACAAGCGGCTCCACAGCATCCCGGAAGTTGCCGAGGAGGAAACGGACACCGGGGTGGAGGTCATGGGCCAGCGTCTGCGTTTCGAGGAGGCCCGTCCATGCACACCTTGCAGGAGCCCACGGCCCTACCACCAGGATTCACGGCAGCCGAACCACCTCTCCCCGAGCAAGAGCGTCCCCAGGCTGCAGAGGCAGCGCTCCTCTCCACGCTACAGCTCCATAGAGGAGCGGCCACCGTGCTGGAGCAGCAGCAGTAGCAGGCAGACCACTAAGAGCCCGGACAGTGGACTAGACTGCGGGAGCGAGGAGGAGGGCTCGCTTGGCTACCGTGGAAGCTACCACTCGTACACGGGGGGCAGCCCGCTGCGGGTGGGTTCTGGCCCCAACATGCGGGTGATCCACAGCGAGGGACCTGTGGAGAGACGTGCTCTGGCTGCCGGCAGGAAAAGGACACTGTCCCGGCAGTGCAGCGTGGAGGAGGACTTCCTGGATGCCATTCCGGAAACAAGGAGCATGCGGGAGTCGTACCACCATTACCACGATCATCCGCACCATCACCATCCCCAACGCAGGTTCCGGAGCGAGGGCAGGCTGAGCGAGGTTGGCAGGACCTATCACAGGGACATTAGGGCCTACTCTGTGGCCAGACTCAACAGGGCAATGGATGAACCCCTGGTGTGTGTCTCCTACCCCTCCTCTCACCCTTCTGCCCTCTCCTCATCTATCAACTGCTTTGTGTTCTCATTGACAAGCGATTAAACCATTCTTCTGTTCATGGTGTTCCACCCAGTCTGTCATCGGTTTATTTGATTTTGTTCTTCTTGTTTTGCTTTTTTGTTTGGTCTATTTTGCTAGATGTTGCTATGTTATTGTTTGATTTCACCTTTTGATATTACTCTTGTTTTGGGGGGATTTTAGCTTGTATGATCTTTCTTGACTTTCTTGATTTGGTTTAGATCTCATGTGACTTTGTTTGATTCCTAGAGTGTCGAGTGAAATTTTTTGGATGTGTAGGTTTGTTTTGATTACCTAAAGGCCATTTCTGAGTGTTTCTTGTTTCTGTTGTAAGAAGAGTCACAAATCAAATGACAATGTTTCCACAGTCCTCCAACTTATACTTTAGAGTACAACCTTGAAGTTTCTAGCAGGTATTCAACCCTGCTCCTGGAGAACCACTATTTTTCAAAGTTTAGCTCCAACCCTAATCATCTGAACCAGTTAATCTGGGTTCTCAAGATTACTTGAAAACTTACAGGCAGGTGTGGAAATAAACTTTGCAGGATAGTGGGTCTCCAAGAGCAAGGTTGAAAACCTCTGGTTTAGAGCAGTGTTTCCAAACCCTGTTCCTGGAGGCACCCCGTAAGTACACATTTTGAATGTCTCCCTTATCTAACCCATCCAGTTTAGGACTTGGGGGTCTCTACTAGGTCTCTTTTTAAATCTCTACTAATGAACTGATGAGTTGATTTAGATGTGTTTGATTGGGAAGAGTTAAAAAATGTGTAGTGTTGGGGTGCCTCCTGGAACAGGGTTGGGAAACACTGGTTTTGAGTTGTTTATGGGAAGCCGGAAACACCAAAGGAATGACGAATCTGCACATTTAACAGTGCAGTATGGAGTGAAGTTATTCAAGCCAATGAACAATGTGTTTCCACTGATTGTAACGGTCAAAGCTTGTTTATTTGGGCTTGAACAGATAACTCACCTAACTTATCTGGATTGAGCAGCACAGATGCATACTTTTTTGGTGTGTTTTGCTTCCCATCGTTGTTTTCTTCTAATACCTGTTCATGCTGTACATCATCAAGGTTTTTGCAATACTGACCTAATAGTACTAAATATTCAAGGGGGACCAAATTAAAATTTCAAGAATCAGAGATTGGAAAACTGTCCATTATTCTGAAAATTCCAGGGAAATCTCCCAGGATGTCTGTGGTGGTTAAGGTCCTGACTAATATCATGTACAGATTTGCAGCATGCTATATACCTGTACTGACAGTTTTATATACTCAACACATTACATTAAGTGTAGTCAGACCATAATATAGAATGATATGAATCAGAAAGCTCTGTATCACAAACTACATTCAAAACTTTCCCATATGAACTGAAGAGGAGCAGAACAAAAACCAAAATGGTCTTTAGCTAAGCATCTGATTTCTGCCAAAACCCTGCTCATGTTGTTGTCAGAGTTTGTTTCAATTGTTTATGTTAAATGTTTTGGCGGGTTCATCCTCCTTGTTTTGATTTCACTTGGGACTAGAATCTTGTTCTCTAAAGAAATCACTTTATTTATTTTTTTCATTTTGGGGTTGATGGGAATCTTTTTTTTAATAGGATATCTATTTTTAAGGCACCACAGGCTTTGATTAACATATAAATGTTTGCTTTTGAAGATTTTAGGGAGTTCTCCCTCAACGGGACGCTCGGATCGACTGGACCATTCCGGCCATAGGGCGAGTCATGGCTGTCCACCGGCTCAGAGAAGGCCAATGACAGTCCCTTCCATTGGTTAGTGTGGTCACATGATGTTTGGACTCTGCCTCCCTTCCTTTAGCGTCTTTCATAGAGACACCTATTGTGTGTTCCTCTGTTTTCCTTAAATGTCATGATGACATTTTCTATGTCACCTGGGAGTCACTTTTGTTTGACCTTTGCCATTCATTCTGTTTCAGATTCACTAATAATTATTTAACTGCTTTATTCTAGTGTACAATTGGTACTCCTAACAGGCCACACATTGTCGCTTAGAAAACCATCATCATGTTGAACATTGCTGTTTTACTCCAGAGCAACTCATGTCAGCTGGCTTTCAATACTGTTTTAAGATCAGTACGCCATTTCTGATGCTTTAATGCTATAGAATGGCATTTCTGATCCTAAAACACACCTTGAGAGCCTTGAAAATGTCATAATCCACAACTCACGGGCTGAGTAGAGGAGCTGTGGCTGTAATGCTCTGATTGGTGTTTCCGTAGAGATCACCGTGGAGAATAACAGTGAGGGGAGTGAGGGAAACCTCTCACCTATCAAGGACAATGTTTACTATACCAATGTAGCCCACCGCAGGAAATGGTCCCCACAGCGAACAGAGCACCGATATGGTATGTGGCGTGAAAAATAAAATCTTAACAAAAATTACCAGAACAAATTTGAACTAATATATCACATTATTACCAACAGTATCTTGTTTAAAGACCCTTATGAAATCAAAGTAAGAGTTTTGTGGCTTTAGTCCATGTCTGTTAGCTTTGAGTGGCCTATAAAAAGCTTGCTAAGGTTACCCAGGTAAGTTTGAGCAAACGCTTATTTTTAAGTTTTAAGAAGATAGATTGGTTTTAAGCGGTGTACATTGTCACAGCAATATAGAGAAGCGATTCAGAAATTTGCCTGTTTTTTTCTGCCAATTATAATATTTATTTTATATGAATTATATATATACATACATATATATATACAGTACTCAACATTTGAAGTGGATCAAAAAAGTGAATCAAAGTTGTCCTAAGACAAGAAAGCATTTTGGCTTTAGGACAACTTTGATGAAAGGTTTTGATCCACTTCAAATGTTGACTACTGTGTGTATGTATGTATGTGTATGTATATATATATAGGTAAACTTACCTTTCTTTAAACCTCTTTGTGATTTTTTTTAACTCTAAACCTACTCTGAAACTCAAACTTTGTCCAGCTAGTTTTTTGTAACAGTCCAGACGTCAAATGCTGACAAAATAAACTGTTAGCATACTTTTGTCCCACCCAAACTCCCCTTTTCAGTAGGAAAAACATCAATTCAGAAAAGCAGAGTGCATTTTTCAGTTGATTTCATGGGGTCTTTAAATTAATATTTCTTAACTTAATGCAAGTTAAGCTCTACTGACTGCTTCTGTGACATGCTGATTATCACAGATAAAAATGTAGGTTCTTCAGTTTCTAAAAAATAGGTGTCTCACAGCAGTTCTACCTGAATAAATAGAAAGAAAAAAAACATTGTCCCAGAAATAAGACCACAAGACTTAAACATAATACATGAGATTATTGTGATGGTGTTGCTTTACTAAACTTTTCCAAATAAAGTCATGTCCAATCTTTTAGTTCCTGTCATGTCCATGCTAAACCCTTAGACCTTAAAGTTTCACAAATAGGCTAATTATAGGGACACAAACATGTACTCTAACTACACAGAAGTTCAGCAGTAGTCTTAGCATTAAATATGGGACAGATGTACAGCTAAAACAGCACATATTTAGACAAACATACTTCGCATGTCTTTTAACCTACAGATTTGCATATGTAGTACTGTAAACAAGCATTAATTGGAAGCATATCTAAGATACAGTTGCTAGAGCTTTATTTGTATTGCTAACCTTAAAAAGAACAGAAGCTGCCTTTACCTTAGAAGAATAGACATGCAGGAGCCTCTCATTAACATATAAAAAACAAAGATGGATGAGGTACATTTATTTTTTCTATTCATTTAATTGTATATGTATATTTTGGTTTTAATCAAGAGGTCATTTTTATTTATGTACATTTTGCCTTTACCCCCCCCACCAGACGGTGTTTGTGAAACCCTCTTCTCCTCCTCTTGCTCCCCTTGTTGCCTTTTTCCTCATCATCCATCTTTTACTGAGCTTCCTGTGAGATCCTTGATGGTTTCATTTGCATGAATATCTTTCTTCTGTTGGATGTTGTGTGACTGCACACCATAAGAGCATAGATGCCAGCTTTAATTGAGAACTATGAAAATTACTGTGATTTGAAATGCCACTTTTGAATGTTCTACATATCCTTATCAGTAACAGGGTGCATGATTCACTTCTATCAGCTCCATATACAGGTGCATCTCAATAAATTAGAATGTCGTGGAAAAGTTCATTTATTTCAGTAATTCAACTCAAATTGTGAAACTATTAAATAAATTAAATGCACACAGACTGAAGTAGTTTAAGTCTTTGGTTCTTTTAATTGTGATGATTTTGGCTCACATTTAACAACAAATCTCAACAAATTAGAATACTTCATAAGCCAACTAAAAAAAAACATTTTTAGTGAATTGTTGGCCTTCTGGAAAGTATGTTCATTTACTGTACATGTACTCAATAATTGGTAGTTGAGTTGAATTACTGAAATAAATGAACTTTTCCACTACATTCTAATTTATTGAGATGCACCTGTACACTTTTAATTAACTGGCATGGTCTACTATTTCTACTCCTCTCTAAGATTTTGGTATAAGATTAGAAAAAAAAGTTTGAGATTGGTAGTCGATCATTCCAGTAAAGTATTGGTAATGAGTTGCTGCATGTCTGTCCAAGAATGTTCTGTAGATTTTTACAGTAAAACAGCAATGTTTTATCCTTTCCTTGTTCTTTTAATATGCATGGCAGTTTCAAACATGTTCTTACTGCATTCTTATGTTTTCAGTATGCTTGTGTATCATCCCACTGGTGTGCTGTGCATCAGATAATTTTACTATATAGAGAACATGCATATGTATCAAGTGTGGTTAGCATTTTTATCCGTTTATGACGTTAATATGTAGTTTTAATATGTAGCCTCACTTTAAGAAGGAATGGTACACAATATAGTCATATAGCAGCATACTGTATGTTATTTTCTTAATATTGTTTAGCTGTCACAGATTGATGCCTCTGAGGATATAGATTAGGTTAAGTGTGCTATGGTCTCTTTTGTGCTTTAGATGTCCATTGGTTTCAGTGTGTAGCAGAAGCTTGCCCTCTCCTGTGTTTCAGATGGTTATGGAGGACGTGACCGGCGGTCTCCAGACTACTATGAGTCAGAGCCAGAGGACTTGTCCCGACTCTTTGTGGCCATGTTTGACTACGACCCCTTGTCAATGTCTCCTAACCCCGATGCTGCTGTAGAGGAGCTTCCCTTCAAGGAGGGCCAGATTATAAAGGTTTGATCTGAACTAACTGATGTCAAGCAATTCTTAACTGCCATTTAACTCCATAGCTTGTTTTTCATTTCTTTCCACCTTTTAAGACTTTTTATTTCTACTCTATTTAGGGATGCATCGATACAGATAATTGATAATTATGTTTACTGTATATACTAATGTACAAATTTAATTGCCAGTAGTAAAAGTACTGATTATTAAATTATATAGTATAATGTTTATTACTTTATATTAATGTATTTATTAATACACATTTTTCATATAAATGTATCAATACATTATATATTGGATATTGTTTATTACTATTTATTATACTTTTTTATTTATTATGATTATATAATGTTATATATAACATATCATGTTTATATATGTTTATACATATATATATATATGTGTGTGTGTGTGTATATACACACAAATTTAGCAATATATAGTAGGTATATAATCAGTATTTATTTTTTTACAATTATTTTATGTATATAAATATTTATTTGGATTTATAATTAATTATTAATTGTATTTATTTTAAAAAAGTACATTGATTAATTCATTAATCATTTTATACATAACTAATTGTATACAATAATTTTTATTAAATTATATTGTTCTATTCTTTGCACCAATACCAAATTTCTGACTGATAAAAATAGTTCATAATTATATATTTGTGTACCAGTATAGTTGCCAATGCCAATATTAAATAATACTGATTATTAAGTTACTTTTATTGTTTCTTTACTGTATTTTAAATACATGCCTGCATATGTACATGGCTTTTTAATGATTTATAATTATTTATTTTATATAAATAATACTTTGTGCTTAGCTAATTATATATTCTAAGTTCTGTTCTCTTCTCCCCTTCTATCCTAGTCAGTCCATTGCCATATACACACACACACACACACACTTATTTTCTGTTTGCAGTGGCTATTTACATTTATTCAATTACTAGACACTTGACACTATTAAATATGACTTACAAATGAAAATAATACAAGCATAAGTAAATAATACAAGATAGAAAACATTAGAAGTAGTGCTACCGTACAAAATTGAGTAGCGCAGTAGTGCAGGACATTCGAGAGAGTGTAATTAAAAATGCAATGAAACGAGTTCAATTATGGCCCTGCTGTGTTGTGCAGGTGTTTGGAGAGAAGGACACAGATGGATTCTATAGGGCAGAGATCTGTGGCCGCAGGGGGCTCATCCCCTGTAACATGGTCTCAGAGATCCAGACGGATGATGATGAAATGTTGGACCAGCTGCTCAAACAGGGGTTTCTTCCTCTCAACACGCCCATTGAGAAAATAGGTATGAAGTAACAGGTAGTTTGTACTGAGCCCCTGCCCATCTTACCCCTCTGTGCTTCATTTTCTGACTATTCTGTTTGTTTATGTGTTATTTTAGATTAACATGGTGCTAGTCTGCCAGTCCTCTACCTTTTCCATACTATTCTTTATATAATAACTCTTAAATTCTATCATCACTCATGTCGTTCCAAACCTATATGACTTTCTTTCATCTGAGGAGAACAAAAGGAATCATAGCAAAATGTCACAGACGGATTATTCCTTTAAATCCTGTGCCTTCCTTACCTTCATTCTTTCCCCCCTCTCTCTCTCTCTCTCTCTTCCATTTCTTTCTTGCTTTCCTCTTTTCTCTTCAAGTAAACTGTAATAGGTTCAAAGATGGCCGTTCAGTTAATCGCAGGTCCAGGAAATCCAAGAGAGGTTTGTGCCCACTCAATTTCTTCACCAGTTTTCTCATTCAAACCTTTCTTTACTTTTTCACTTAAGTGCCTTTTCACAGCTCACCTTCAAGTTTCCCTTTAACACTTGAATGTCACACAAGCATGACTACTTCTTTCTGTTCCCACTGACACCTCATACAGGAAATAATGCAGATTGAACAGTGGGGTCCAAAATTCTGAAACTGCTCTTAAAATGTTTCTATATTGTATTTTTATTAATCTTGAGCTTTAAAGGGTTAGTTCACCCAAAAAATTAAAATTGGCTTGTGTTTCACTCACGTTTTACGAGTTATATTAAAAATTGTCCTGGCTATTCCAAGCTTTATCATTGCAGTCAGCGGGTGTTGCAGTTGAACAGTCCACAAGTCGTCAAATAAAGCTTGCGCATTCATGATAAAACGTGCCGCGGACGGCTCCGGGAGATGAATAAAGGCCCCCTGTAGCGAATCCATGAGTTTTTGTCAGAAAAATATCCATATTTCAAACGTAATAAACACTTTTCTCTCACTTCCGTTATCTGTCGTATGCGGATCCGTTCCGGCGGAAGGCGTATGACGTATGCACAGCGCGCGTGCCTCTGAGATATGCTAGTCTCGCGAGTTTGTTTAACAGGAGCAAAGGAAGCAAAGTTTCCTTACTTTAGCAAAGGAAAATCAGTCTCCTCTTGGTTTATCTGCAAATCCTCCAACATTTTTCTTTGCAAATCTTCGGTTTGTACTTCTAATTCATGACCGGCGTTTTGTTTTGTTCTCTCTCCGCATTCGTCACTAATCACGCAACGCCGCGCTTCTTACGTCATCCGCCGGAACTGCTTCAGTGTATGACAGTCAGCGGAACTGAGAGAATAGTGTTTATTACGTTTGAAATATGGAAATTTTTCTTACTAAAACTCATGGATTCGCTACAGGGGGCCTTTATTCATCCCCCGGAGCCGTCTGCGGCACGTTTTATTATGAATGTGCAAGCTTTATTTGACGACTTGTGGACTGTTCAACTGCAAAACCCGCTGAGTGCCATTAAACAGCTTGAAAGATCAAAGACCATTTTTAATATAACTGACTGGATTCGTCTGAAAGAAGAAATTCATATACACCTATGATGCTTCGAGGGTAAGTAAAACACAAGCCAATTTTCATTTTTGGGTGAACTAACCCTTTAAGAAAGAACATCTGACCATTTATACTGAATTCACATGATCAGTGTCACCGATTTACTTTTGATTTCTTTCCATTTTTTTCTCAAACTCTGTTTCTTTCCATTTGCAATTTGAAATGTTCAATAAGCTGTAGACTCAAACTTTTGGACCTCACAGCTCAGAATAGTGGACATTTGGATTCAAAATCAATAACTTGTCTACCAAATGTGCCTTTTATTGTGTTGTTAAAAATGATGATAGTTGGTAATATACAATTCTAAATTTATCCATTAGAGGGCAAAAACTTAGATGAATAATATGTAAAGGAGGCTGGTGTCATTATTACAACAAGGCCTCCTGTCATTCATAAATCATGCTCTTTTTTCACATATTTATATGTTTAATTTTAATTATCAGAAAGTACCTTGGTTTACTTATTTATTGGTTTTGCTCATTTATTCTTAAACTCTTTTTTTTCCAGAGAGGAACAAAAGGAGTGGAAGGCAGCACCCGGTGTCGACGCGGAGGATGGTGGCCCTGTATGACTATGACCCCAGAGAGAGCTCTCCTAACGTGGATGTGGAGGTACTAATGGAGTTCATTTTTAACCATCACACTTACAGTCTCATCTCATAAGCTTCTGATTTTACGCTGGTTTGCCTGGATGTCTGCCTCTGTATTAGCCACCAAATTCATGTTCAGCTTATTTTCCTTGCTTTTGCGGCTACAATGTGGTTTGTATTTTTTACATTGCTGTTCATTCAGATGGCACATGGCAGCTCTAAAGGTTAAGTTCTGGTTAAAAATAAAATTTAAGTTCTGTCATTATTTACACACTGTTATGTCATTCCAGTCCTGCATGACTTTCTTCTGTGAACTTATTATTTTAAAGTTGAAGTGTGCAATTTCTGTGCCAAATAGAATCTAAAAATATAATCACTGTTTTCAAACAGGTTTCCCAAAATCTCCCTTTCTGCCACTGTTATTTTAATGTTATTTATACATTATTATAGTATTCATTAATATTTTAAATGATTTTTTAAATATTTTCAGTTTTTATTTTAATTGTAATTTGGGTTTCAGTAATTTTGTCATGTGATTCTGTCATTTTGTTTAGTTTTATATGTATATGTGACCCTGAAGTCTTAAGTCGCTTGGGTATAGCAGTAGCCAAAAAAACTGTATGGGTCAAAATTATCGATTTTTTTCTTTTAGGATATTAAGTAAAGATCATGTTCCATGAAGATATTTTGTAAATTTCCTACCGTAAATATATCAAAACTTAATTTTTGATTAGTAATATGAATTGCTAAGGACTTCATTTGGACAACTTTAAAGGTGACTTCCTCAATATTTAGATTTTTTTGCACCCTCAGATTCCAGATTTTCAAATAGTTGTATCACGGCCAAATATGGTCCTATCCTAACAAACCATACATCAATGGAAAGCTTATTTATTCTGCTTTCAGATTATGTATAAATCTCATGACTGGACCCTTGACCCTTACAGTGTTTCCCCTGCCATTATTTTAGGGGGGCGGCCCGCCCCCCCAACGGCACCCCCCTTGAAGGTCAAGTTAATTTTATTTAATTATATTTTCTCTATAGCGCCAGATCACAACAGAAGTAATTTAAAGTTACCTTTCCTATAGAACATGTCTATACCTTGTTCTTTCATTAAGCAAACTAATAGCCTTATGTTATTTATCTTATTTACACGATGGCATGTCATTTCAATCTCTACGTTATGGTCGCGCTCTCTGTATCACGCACAGTGGAGTTCCGCCTGATGCACACGCTCACTCACACACAAGTAAGCCCACTCCGATTCATATTTAAATATGAATTCTGCATGTCTCTGTGTTAATGAATAACCATTAAAAAGGAGTCCAGAGAAAAAAAAAACTGAATTTACCCCCCCAAAGCCGTAAACCTAGGGGAAACACTGCCTTATGACTGGTTTTGTGGTCCAGGGACACACACACATATACATATACATATATATGTATATGTATATGTGTGTGTGTGTGTGTATGTACAGTGGCATGCGAAAGTTTGGGAACCCCTTGCAGAAAATGTGAATCATTTTAATAAAAAATCAATCTCTTAAAAAAAAGAGATCCTACAAAATGCATGTTATTTTTTTATTTAGTACTGTCCTAAGCTAGATATTTTACATAAAAGACATTTACATATAGTCCACAAGACCAAAAAATAGCTGAAATTATTAAAATAACCCCCTTCAAAAGTTTGGGAACCCTTGGTTCTTAATACTGTGTGTGGTTACCTGGATGATCTACGAATGTTTTTTGTTTTGTGATGGTTGTTCATGAGTCCCTTGTTTGTTCTGAACAGTTAAACTGAGCACTGTTCTTCAGAAAAATCCTCCATGTCCTGCAGATTCTTCAGTTTTCCAGCATCTTTTGCATATTTGAACCCTTTCCAGCAGTGACTGTATGATAAATATATTTCTATTTAGCTTTATTTTTCTAGCTATATTTTTGGAATTTCAGTACTGATATTGAAGTGTTTATTTCAGTTAGTTTCCAAGGCAACATTTCTAATTTTAGTGTATATATTTATAAAGTTTAAGTTTTTCATTATGTATGTATATATATATATATATATATATATATATATATGAGTATTTTATCTTAGATTTATTTCAGTTACTGAAAACTAACAGTAATAACACTGGTCCATCATTGTTTGGAAAACAAATAGTCCCACCCAACAAACTTCACCTTTAAAGTTGGTAATAAGCACTTCTGAATGTATCCATCAGAGGGCATCAAAATAGTATAACATCAAATTGAATGATTGATATTACCATCCTGACAACCAAGCCTGCTGTCATTCATAAATCATGCCGTGCTTCTTTTTTACATATTTAATTGTGTTTAAGTGTAATTGTACTTCATATAAAATTCTAATAAAAACATAAACAAAAAAATAAATATCAGTGTTAAAAATAATACATTTAAAAAACAATAATTGGTAGAAATGTGTCTTTAGTAGTAACACCCATCAAATTTGCCCAATTAAATTCCAAATCTATTAAAAAAATAAAAACTCACAGAACAAACAAGGTTAGATCAGCTAATAACTACATATTATATTTAGCATTTCCAAGTCTTTTACACCCCATTGTCACTTACTCTCACCTTTGCATTGCCGCTGGCGCACAGGCCCGCTATGGGGGCAGCTTGCAGAGTGAGGAGGTGAGTGTGGAAGGAAGTAGTGAGTCTACACTCACTGAGCCTGTGCCAAATGACACTCTGTTTCCTGCTGAAGGAGCTCACTGCACTGCATCAGCACCTGTACTGTGTTTACATCTCACTTACGGGACCCAAACATCATAAAGCATGTGCAATACATTTGCATTTCAAACTGAATGTGATCTTTAAAGCCTTCATAATTTGCTCGATGAATGATTCTCTAAGAAAATAAGCATAACAGGATGCTTTATATTCCATGATGGTAGTGTTAGTGTCAAGCTTTAGTGAACCAGAAAAGCATTTAAATGATTTCCAATGTGTGTGCATGCATTTATCGGATACTATGAATCATTATAATGCATTTATGAAGGCTTTGTGACAGGCTGTTGAGAAATCTGCTCTGCTGTAAGTGAGTGAGTTCCTATGAAAGGAATAGGGAATGTTATTTGTGACACCGGGATCTCTGTGTGTGTTTTTTGCTGTCGTTGGACTGGAGGTAAAGGGTTACACAATCACTGTGGTTTGTGAACACAGCTCCCAGTCTGACAGTGAGGACCTGCCTTGCCCAGTGTTGGTTGATCTGTGTTTGTATTTCACAAGTTTGGTGGATGTTGTTTTGGACCTGAAGTAGAGAATGTTGCTATAAATTATTGCTATTTCATTTTCTTTCTAATAAGGTATGTAGAGATTCTTTTAGATATCTGACATTACGTAGGTTTGTTTTTATGAGTATAGAGTTAGGCCTAAACCTTGTGTAGGTTGAATATGTAGGTTTTTATCCTGTCAGAATGTATAGTGTATAAGTGTCCAAAAGTGAAAAAAGTGCCTATACAGCATATATAGACAGACAGACAGAACGGACGGATATAGACGGATGGACAGATAGATAGATAGATAGATAGATAGATAGATAGATAGATAGATAGATAGACATGGATGGATGGACAGATAGACAGACAGATGGATGTTTAGACATGATAGATAGGTGGATGGATGGATGGATGGATGGATGGATATACTGACAGACAGACAGACAGCCAGAGATATACGGCCGTATAGACAGATGGATTTATATACAGATAGATGGATGGATGGGAGCACAGATGGAGAGATAGATAGATAGATATAAAGATAGAGACAGACAGACTGATTTATGATTGATTGATACTTTAAAGTGATTAAAACATCTACGTTGTGGTTGTAACTGTTGCATATTAAATTAGCTCTGTGACAGTTATGAACGATGACTGAAATCTAACATGTTTAACTTTTTCTGTCCTTCAGGCTGAGCTGACGTTTTGTGCCGGCGATGTGATCACAGTGTTTGGAGAGATCGATGAGGATGGCTTTTATTACGTGAGTAGATTATTTACACCATCTCTGTTTTTGGTCATACACTATACTATTCTGCAAAACACCTAATGCTGTTCTTTCACGTTCGAGGTTATTCTTGCTTTCAGCCCTGAACACAGGAGAGCCGCCACGCTGGCATTTAGCCTTAGATGCATAATGACCTGTTTTCCATTCAGGGGGAGCTCAATGGACACAAGGGTCTGGTCCCCTCCAACTTTCTTGAAGAAGTGCCTGATGACGTGGAGGTTTACCTCACCAACACACAGAGCCGTCACTCCCAGGACCACCCGTCCCGGACAAAGAACAAAAGGGTACATCCTGTTTCACACTAGCCCTGTAATCCATTCGCTCTTTTTTTAATCTCTTTCCTGCTCCGCTGTTTTTTTCCTCTTCTCCGTCTGTGTGTTGTGTTGTGTGACAGCCGGTTGCTTTTTTGATGGATCATTGAAGGAAAACAGAAAACAAAAGAGAGACAGCTTACTAAACACAGAGACATACCGTAAAATACAAGACTGAGGAACCTTTATTTTTATGTCAGATGTTCTGCGGAGGAGAAATGTGAACTGTTAATGAAAGTGCATATTCATAAAGCATTGTTTGGAAAAGAAGAATTCACACAAAGAGACGTGCCAGATTATTAGTTGTTTACTGTTATTATTTCTGGAAAAAGAAGCACTAAAAGATTATTATTTTTTACCTAATTCACAAGTGAGGCATTGTAATAGATGCTTAATGAATGTAACTGTGTTTAAAAGTGAAATCAATTTATAATAGAGGAGATAGTTTTGATGTACAGAGAACTGAATCCATGTAGAACTGTAGAACTGCATGCTTTTTCTTTCAGAATGCTTCGACACCACCGTGAACATTTTTTAAGGTGCTTTAACGGATTGAGACCAGTTAAAAAAACAACAACAACAACAACCTTAAACCCTTTTGTATGTTTCCAAAAGAATTGTTTTTTGTATAATGCTGATATATAAGACTATCAACTTAAAGAAAGACTCAAAACAAATGTTGCAAGTAGAGAGTTATCAAGAATGATTTTATCTGTAGATGTAGATATTGTACAATGGTCTGTATAAAAAAATAGAGAGAAAAAAATATATAGTTGCTGATGGATGTTCTGCTCAATCATCAGGACCCATCAAGGTTTTTCTGTACTGAAAGTTTTGTGATTCTTTTCTCATATTCATTGTGCAGACAATTGAGATGCATTACATCATGGCATTGTTTTTTTTCCTCACTTGCTTGGCAAAACAGAAGAAGAGTGTTCATTTCACTCCGTAACGGCTCAGTATCTGTCACGTAAGTGAGCAACAGAGGATACCACAAATAATGCTGTCCTCGTCTAATGCACACGACGCGGGTCCTTATTACTATTGCTCCTGGTATGCACAAAACACACACATGTCACATTCACACCAACCATATACATGAAAGATCCATTAAAATTGGTCGCAGACTCACAAAAACATTACATTGATGCCTTAAGTTTGAATTGCTCAAATTACCATTTCAGAATTTACATATGAACTAACAGACTAATTGCATTTTATTTTAATAAATATTTTATTCATATTTAAATGTTTCATTAATATGTACTGATTTATATGTTTGTTATTTACTAATATTTATATTTTCTATTTATAATTTATATCATATATTAATATATAATTATGTCATTTGTAATGTTTGTAATTTAAATGCAATTTTATTAAAGATCTAAATTGATTTCAATATTTTTATTAAAACCATATTTTTATGATTTAAAAAACATTTTTATTACTTAAAATTACATTTTAATTAATTGCACAGTTTAAAACTGACAGTATGCACACAAATTCTATACAGATACATGCACTGACCAAGTTACTCATCAAAACACCCCTTCACATTTTTGTGCATCAGTTAACAGTACTGTAAGTACAGCTGCTCAGAGAGCTGTGATTGGTCCACTGCTGTCAGTGCATTAGACAGGCACAGCTGGTATCTTCAGTTGTTTCTCTGGGTGTTGTCCATTATAATGTTCGTCTATCATTGACTCCTACTGTAAGTCATAAGAAGCTATAAGGCCATTGTTGCACGGTCAGAATTGAACCCCTGGCCCCCTTCCCCCACCCCTTCTCTTCTCTAATGTGTGCAGTTTAGTAGATTCCTAGTGTACGCCCTGGGACAAACCCTCTCCTCTCCTGTAGCTGTGCACCCTATCATACCACACTGAGCATGAATACACACGAAACACTTTTGAAATGGATATTGGACATTGGCAAGGTCAGCCAGATCATAAAGGTGTGTGTGTGTGTGTGTGTGTGTGATTAGGGTGCACTCTTTCCATTAACTCTAGGAGTGATCAAACATGTCCAGCAAGCATAAGCATCATTACCTTTATCTATCTAAAGAGTAGATTTTAGTTATATACTGTTTCCTAAACTTGATTGAATTGATTTGTAAGTTTATGCATTCTTGCAGCCACTTTTGTAAATGAAGCTTTTTTAAAGCAGGTTTGATTTGGCTCCAACACCCTTGGTGAAGTTACCATGCTGAAAGGTGATAGATTACTTCAAAAGACTGGTAAATTAAATACTCATCTTCTCTTTTCATTACCATTATAGAGTATGTTGCTGTTAGCATAAATATTAATTAAAATATTGTGTTATGCAACTATACAACTGATATTAAGGACAAATTATGGTATGTAAAAGGTGTTTTTGCTTTTAAAGGAATAGTTCACCCAAAATGGAAATTTGCTGATAATGTACTCACCGTTTGGCCATCCAAGATGTAGATGAGTTTGTTTTTTCATCAGAACAGATCTGGTTCAATTTAGCATTACATCACTTGCTCAGTGAATGGGTGCTGTCAGAATGAGAGTCCAAATATTGCTTTCTCAAGTGAAAAAGTTATCTAGTGATGTTTGTGTCAGCTGTTTGGACTCTCATTCTGACGGCACCCATTGACTCCATTGGTGAGCAAGTGATGTAATGCTAAATTCCTTTTCTTTTATTTTTGATCAAGAAGCAAACTCATGTACATCTTGGATGGCCTGAGGGTGAGCACATTTTCAGCAAATGCTCATCTCTGGTTGAGCTTTACCTTTAAGGAGTTCCTAATTAGTTGATTGTCACTAAAAATGAGATTACTGTCATGTGACTGTGTATAAATAGTACATTTCTTATGATATTTTGTTGCACTTGCAGTCTGAACAGGTTTATTAATGTTTTAATGAGAGTTTAGCTAGAATCTTAAGTGAAGCGCACTCGATTTTCTGGGTTTCACCACATATCATTCATAGATTACGGTTTAGAACGCTGCCCCCTACTGTCTGGGTGTATTATTCATGATGAAAAATATACTATTGATTGATAATTGACTGTATTGTGGCCCTGCTGGGACAGAAAGGACTGTGAGAGGAGATGGAGTGTCTGTTGTACAGTAATGACATTGAGATGCTTTAAAAGGCAAAGAAACACCTTCTTTTCTTTTTAAACATCCGGCCCTGAACTGTCCCTTGCGGGTCTTCCGTTAGGTTCCCGTGGAAAAAGCGGGCCCTCCCAGAAGAAGTGCCACCCCCACAGTGCGCCCACACATCCCGGGGTCCGGCCCCGCAGCCCAGGGGCCCGGCAGTCCCATCCGGCGCCCCCGAGCTGACTCTAAGAAAACAGGACTGCTCTCCAAAGGAAAGAATCTATTGAAAAGGCTTGGTGCTGTCAAATAGTTTCACATAACTCTCTTCACAGCAGCCAGGTTAAGGAGGATGGAATTGAGGAGAATTTACCTTAGAAGGTGGGAAAAAGAACCTTTCTCCCATCTTCTGTTTCTGTAATCACATGGATTGGCAAACTAAAAGAGAAAGGGAAATGGTGGAAACTATGGCTTTCATGACCACAACTTCAGCTTTATGCCTTTGAAACTGTAATAAGTTCTGTTTGCCCATGTTTGATTCTTAAAAGCACAGAAATGCTCACTAATGTGAGTTACTAAGATGTCTTGTTATAAATATACAATAGAAGGGATGTTCTTGGATAATAAAATAAAATCTATATTTATTCAATTTCATTTTCATTTTAGTGGATATTCAATTTATTATTATTATTATTTAATAAAGTTGTTCGATATTTAATAATTGTAATAAATTGAATATCTCTTAAATTTAATTAAATGTAATGTTTTAATTTAACAAATATACAATAGTATTATTATTATTATTAAACTATATTTTTGGCACATTTTTCATCTAGACCTGCTGTTCTCAGAGAATAACCTAATAACCTAGCACAAAGTTTTAGGAGTTTAGCACAAATATGAAATGTAGGTTTTGCAGTGACTAGACACGGCTTATATTTCTACAAATACCATGAGGGAAAACAGTGTGTTCTGCCACATTTGACTGGATTTTTTTTTTTTAAGCACTGACAGGTCATGAAACTCCTAGTGGAAGTGAGCCTCCTCATATTTGCCTTATTCAATGCACAATGGTTTGTGTTGTGTCCAGTCAGTTGGGTGAGATTTGTCTGTGTCGTGTGCAGTCATGTCGATGCTTTCCTTCTCATGAAAAAACAGTGTATTTCGAATCTGTGTGACCAAGTGTTGTGTTGTTTTTTTGCAATGGGTGTCAAAAGTAGGGAAGGAGGGACTCTAACTTACAAATGGTTCAAAAATCCATTCAAGTGTAAATTGTGCAGCTGAATGCAACAATTTGCATAAGAATGTTTTTATTTACGATTTACACAGAAGTTTTGTATGTTTTTGCAAAGAAGGCCCTTGATTTCCACTTATTTAGCACAACTTATTCACAGTTTTACATAAATCAGTTTGGTTATTGACTCACTGATGCCTCTCCCAGCTTTCAAATCATTCGAATAACATGATGCACATATTCCGTACTTGATAAGGATGAAGGAAATGAGCAACTGTGAATGTATGGCCAAGGAAAACCTTCCCGTCTCCGTGATCCGTTTCATTCAGTCTGTACTGTATTTCTTCTCCATACATTGTTCATTTTATTTGTTTGTCATTTCACCCCTTCATTTTGTCCTGAACCAAGATACTAAAAGTAGGTTTGCAAGTATGGACCGAGACTGCCAAAAAACAGGAATGTATGAGAAACATTCTGTATATCTTGTACAATTTTCAGCCAAAATTCCAGGCATTTTAATTCATCAGAATAACTACTTTTTTTCTTTTTTTTTTGCCGAATCATTTAATCATAAGATGTTACAGAGCATCGCTTCTACATGTTTGAGTGACTGCTGCTCTTTTTGTACTTTTTGCCCATTTGTACATTCTTTTTAAATGTTTATACTTGCTTTTCAGACTGCCTTTTTTGTACATTAAACTTTATAATCTGACAGTGCAAGCTTTCCTCATGGTGTCTTCAAACCATAATGTTTTAAAATCTGCAATTGTGTGCTAGCTTTATGAAAAAGACATAAGCCTATATTGATGGTTATCAAATATTGTGTGAGTGTGCATGTGCAGTTTTATATCGAAATAAATTTGATATTTTATACACACCATTGTATGTGTTTATTTTATTAACCCAAGTCAAGTTTGTGCAGTTTTACATATGAGTGAATGAGCTATTTTGGTGTTAGGATTTATTAAATATAATCACATACTTCCAAAAGATGGCGCCCAAAGTCCATAATTACCTGCCGATATAGTGATGTAGTTGTTCTTAATATCACCTACCACATTGTAAAGTTGTAAGATCAAAGGTCTCTCTCTCAAACACACTCAAAAACAATACAGTAGTCATTTATTTCTTACCTGCTCTTTTCCATTCCGTCCTGCATAAACCTTTTTGCAGAATAGCCACATTTTCATGTAGGCTATTTGTTTTTAGCTCTGCAGCTCCACCTTATCGTTTTCTTTCTTTCTTTCTTTTATTTTTGTTTATTTGTTTTTGTTTGGGTTTTTTTTTTTTATCTAAAAAATTACATCATTAGGCCTACAGAATTCCCATGTCCAGATGCTCAATCATCAACACATTTTCATGTAGGCTATTTGTTTTTAGCTCTGCAGCTCCACCTTATCGTTTTCTTTCTTTCTTTTATTTTTGTTTATTTGTTTTTGTTTGGGTTTTTTTTTTCTTCTAAAAAATTACATCATTAGGCCTACAGAATTCCCATGTCCAGATGCTCAATCATCACTGGAGCAGAAAAAGTGAGTGGAATGGCACTAGGGATCTCGAATTGGCCCCTTTTTTTAATTGTTTGCTGTGTAGGCTATTTTGAACTTCAATACAGTTCAGCGATTCTCGTTGTCGTTATTCACATAACAAACTGAGTGTATTCAGAAGCACCATAAAGGCGACGTTGCCACTGGGTACCTGTTACTATTCTCAACGCTGCTCTGGATCAGCCAATCACTGTTGCTTGAGATTACTGTGTAAGGTTATAGATACTGACGGAACGGAGTTCCTTTCAGATGTCAAGCATATATATATATAATATTTTTTTTGTACTGAACAGATTTCGTTACACCATAACGAATCAATGGGGAATTTGGCATTCTTGAGCCTCCATACGCCTCCTGCAGGAGAACAACTTCGTGTCCCATAGAAAACAGTGTAGTAACATTGACCGCCCAAAGGGCTCGACCCACTGATGAGAGCGCGAGCGCAGCGCTTGTTCTTCATCTTCTTCATCAGAGCTCGAGCGCAGCGCGCAACACACGGACTTTAAGACGATGGATGACAAACTCTGAATTCAGCTACAAGTGATCTTCGCACCTGCTGGTCATTTTGAACGTCAAATTCTGACGCATTCATATTTTTTTCTTACAAATATACCTTAACAATAGCTTTACATTGATATAAGCGCAATGATTTTGTTCGTTTACCATTAACGGCGCAATATAGGTTTTACGTTTGTAACTTTTTTTATTGCTATAAACGCCTTTGAAAACAATGGACTTAAAATACTGTAAAGTACTACTTATGACTCTCCTGACTGTTCAGGTAAGATAACTGAAAAAGAAAAGACAGAAGAAACCTTTGTTTTTAATGCGGTTTCGATGTGGGTTTTAATGCAAAGTCGCTTGATAAGTTGAACGCTTTATTTCTTTCAGGTTCGTAGCGACGCTGTATCACCGTCAAAACATCCAGGTAATCGTTGAAATTACCAAAGGCATTTTATTCTACTTCAAAACTCGATGAAATGTGTCACAAAAACATACTTTCGTTGTTTTATTTAGACAATAAACGTGTGTACACTAATAAAACGTAAGAAATTCATCTAAAATTAAACTGAGGATGACTTTTTTCCCCTCAGTTATGTTGAATGTAAAAGGTTCATTTAATTTAGCTCAACCTTTCCATTATGTAGGCCTACTCGGTATAATAAATATAAACGATTGTTTCTACTGGCGATTTACAGACACGATTGAAACTGAATTTTAAATGATCCCTTATTTGTGGTTAAACTCGGAATAAGTCACCGTAATCGCAGTAATAATATCGACGGATCGACATTTAACACTAACATTTCCGTTCACTATCTATAAATAGAAACCAACATCCTCATCCACAATAACACTTTCTGCTCTTTGCGCTAAATCTTATCTAGTTTAATAAAATGATACGTTTGGTTTGACTGAGGAAAGTTGATTCAGCACTGAGATCATCTTTTGGCAGTTGTGAAATGTTATGACACATGTTATGAAACTCAGGACATCTTTAGGTAGTACATAATGATAGAAAATTAATTAGGCTACGGAAGAAACTAAATATATAGAGACTGTGAGAGATAGAGAGAAAGTGTGTAACGTTAGCTTTTCTGAAAATAATTAAGCTGCAGAGCAAGAAGATGAAACATTATTTTGTCTCTTTGGAAGTTAATGGAATTTTGAATTTGATTATAGGAATATGTAGATTATTTACAACTAAATTGCTGTCGTTGTATATGGATAGAAAACTCCAGATTTGGTTGATTCTCAAAAGGCAGGTGAAGTGATTAGTCTTAAGAGGTCGTTCCTTACAGTCCAGGTTAAGCACTATTAATAGCCTCCTGTGGATGTTTGATTCTCTACACACAGAATTCTGCAGCCAAAATGAAATATTTTATCCAAATTGACCAGCAGAGACAAGTCTGAACCAATGGCAACCAACATGCAATAAAACTGTCTCAAGATCATTTCTGTGAACCCCTCTGTCAACCTTAATAAGAATAAACAGAAAACAGTCGAGCTTAAAACTAATTAAAATGATGCTGAATTGACTACAAACTGTCACTGTAATGTTTTTGCATGTGTGTGTATATTTTTGTGTATACTGTATGGATGTGTGTGTTTTGATCAGGCCTGCAGGTGCTGGCCACAGCTTCACACTACTGGCCTCTGGATTCAGTGGAAGGGATCCACGGCCTCTCAGACCAGATTGGGAACAGAACAGGTCATGTTAATGGGACTAATATAAGTATGTCACACCTGCTTTGTCTTTCTTTCTTTCTGTCACCACAGCTGTTTAACATTCCTCCACGGTCACGTCTTAGTTGCGGAAATCTCTGTGGCTTTGCAGCTGCCTTCAGTTCTTAAAACGAAATGATTTCCTCATTTGATTCGAAACGTTGAGGAATTACATGATTACCTCAGTTGTGATGAAGACAAACGACTATGCCATTTAAGGGTGTCAAAAGTACACACAGTTTCGCTCAGTGATTTACTAGTCCACTTGGATTTTTAGCTGTCCAAACTCACCAGCATACATCACTATAGTGGGAGAGCTCTGCAATGTCCTTAACAGATCTGCTGAAAATTTGTGCACATTAGACAAACAACCACACGTCATTCCATAGCTGGAGTATATTCCCAGTATAAGTACAGTATGGCAGTTGTTCTGTGCTGGCTAATTCAGAACAAATGGAGGGCTGAGAGGAATTCTCTGGGCCTCTCAGACTTGTATTGACACAATGTGTCACATGTGCATATCTAAAAGATTTCTTAAAGGGGTCATATGATGTTGCTAAAAAAAACATTATTTTGTGTATTTGGTGTAATGAAATGTGTTTATGCGGTTTAAGGTTAAAAAACACATTATTTTCCACATACTGTACATTATTGTTTCTCCTCTATGCCCCGCCTTTCTGAAACGCGTCCATTTTTACAAAGCTCATCGGTCTGAAAAGCAAGGTGTGCTGTGATTGGCCAGCTATCCAGTGCGTTGTGATTGGCTGAATGCCTCAAGCGTGTGACGGAAATGTTACGCCCCTTACCATATTGTGATGCCCTGTCCGGCTGGAGTGTTCTGAAAGTATTTGGAGAAAGTTTTTAATCTGGATATAGACTCTGATGTTGCGGCAGCCTTGATCAAAACGAGTAATTAACATTTGGAACTAATGATACGCTTCAAATATAGATTGTATATGTTACATTATGCCAGTAGGTGGCAAACAGTGTACATGTTTAATGTATTTGATGTCTGAATCATTCAATAGATTCATTCAAAAACTCTGGACGAAACAAGTCTTAATTTTTTTTTTCAAATGATTTTTTTAGCTATATAATGAATTCATTTAAATTAATAAATATATTTTAAATACACTCATTTATAACATTTTAGACATTTATAAATAGACTCATCTACAACATTAAATAAAACATTTTGTCAGAAACTCAAATTACATATTTAGTTTGGTTGTCTGTTTGTTTTATGGCTGGCTTGAGTGAGAGAATAAAAGTTACGCCTTCTTTCTTTGCGTGAACATTTGAGCGGTGTTATGCAAATCTTTCCACATAGTGACGTAGACATGTGGGGGCGTGTTAGAACGAGCTGTTTTAGGTAGGCGTGGTTAACTCTTAACTTTTATAAAGACTATCTCTTTGGATTTGAGACTTTAGTCTTTGCAACTTTACAGATCTTCTTTATGCACCAAGAGCTTATAACACTCCAAAGAGAAAGGAAAAATTGAAATCGCATCATATGACCCCTTTAAAATCTGAATGCTGCTTTGAATGTTACACTAGTCATCTTATCCACTATGTCTGCCTGTGTGTCTCACAATGTCCCTTTTTTCTGTTTCATGTCTGTGCTCATTTGTACATGTTTGTTGTTGAATCACCTGTTGTACATGCCTGTTGCTGAATCACCTGTTTTTTTGTTTTGTTTTTCATCTCACTTTCTTTGTTGTTTCCACATTCTCTCCATCACAGCTGTCAGAATCCACAACCACACTGTCCTGACTACCCATAATTCTTCCTCTGTGTATACCAATGACTCTGCCTACACTAACATTTCCGCCACTGTAGGTGAGACTCTTACACATGTCCACTTACTAGTTCAAAGCTATGGGTCTTGGGGATTAGTGTTAGGACCTATACATTCATGTAGGCCTTGTATATCAGCAGGACATCATTAGGAGAGGTTAAACTGAAAAACTCTGATATATGACCATTTACATTAGGGTAATTGAAGCATGCATTGTTTAGTGCTGTTTAATCTGGCCTTCTTCACTGATATCAAACCTTTCGTAAGCTTTATGACTGATTTTATTGGATCCAGTGTGTTTGTGAAACTGCGTTTGAAAACCTTGTCCCATTTTGGAAATCTGCTGTATGTGGTGTGATTTGTTACGTCTGTTACGTCGTTTAAAACAAATGTCCCAGCCAAAATTGTACAGCCGTTTGAATCTAATTGATAAAGCAGCATTGCAAGAGTGCTGGTATTTAGTATAACAGTGTTCCACAGTTTGAATCCTTTCACTTGTCTTTGTTTGCTACATGAATTCTGATTTCATTGGCAAAGAAAAAAATAGTCAAAACTGACAGTTTATATGGTCAGTTATGTAAATGTATATTGCTGGCCATAAGTGTATATTACTTAATGTAAGTGTATATTACTTATATTTATATAAGTGTATGGTCAATAAGATTTTTTTTAAATGTGTATGCATTTATCTGATCAAAAATATAGTTAAAACAGTAATATGTTTATAATTAAAATTTATGAGAGAGAGTTTTTAAAATAGAGAGAGAGAGAGAATTTAAAATAGTTTTCTATTTTAATACATTTTATAATGTAATTTATTCCTGTGATGGCAAAACTGAATTTTCAGCAGCCGTTACTCCAGTCTTCAGTGTCACATGATCCTTTAGAAATCATTCTAATATGCTGATTTTGTGCTCAAAAACATTTCTTATTATTATGTTGAAAATAGTTGTGGTGCATAATGTTTCTGTGGAAAATATTATACTTTTTTCAGTTTTTTTGGGGGGGGGGGCATGAAAATTCAAAAGCACTTTGCAACATTGTTTTTACTATTAATTGTTATCAATTTAATGCATCCTTGCTGAATAAAAATATTAATTTTTGAATTTTCTTTCACGAAAGAAAAAATCCTACTAACCACAAACTTTTGAATAATAGTGTAGTATGTCTGAAATTGCAACAGCTAACAAGCTGTTCATTTAAAAATGTAAAAAAAGTAATTAATAATAATAATAATAATAAACCTTGAACAGTTTAAAAAATAAACAATAATAAAAATAACATTCCTTTCAAACAGTCCACCATTTTGAAATGTTACTGTAGTATTCAAGTAGAAACTTCCAGGTCAACTTGTTCAATATTTATGATAATTCTGATATAATATATAGCATATAAAGACAGCAATAATATCAGCATGGCTTGCTTATAGTATGTAATTTTGTAACTCAGATCTCTTTTGTGTACATTATTTGTCCTGTAGGAAACCTTTTATTCATATTTCAGTTGCCTCAGAATCTCACTCTAAAAAGCTACATTTAAGGTACTTCTGCACAATACTTCACAAAGGCATGCCGATACCTTGGATCTCACTGCATAGATGGATGTTCGGTCCTCTGTACCTCTTTATCTCTCTGCCCCCACAGTACAACTATTGTTCACTCACTCCATACTTCAGTCTGTCTCCTCTCTGTCTTCTGCCATCCACTGTGTCTTCACTGAGCACTCTTTTCCATGATCATCTCTTCTCTCAACTCATCCATTCATGAGGTGCGATGGTGCTGCGGCTCCCACTGTGATCCACAGATCCTGGCTTTTTAGGTCTAATAAAGGAGGATTTATTGAACAAAGTCAGTGCATTCAAAGAAGAAAAACTTACCATTGACAAAAAAGCAGACAATCGTGAATCATCTGCAGTTCAGTAATTCCCCAGATCCTCATAATTCAGGAGATCTACTCTTGTTTTAGAGTACTCATATTTTTACTATATGGGTGAAAGGTTAGGATTTCCTCATAAAGTCTCTAGTCAATACATCACATGAACAAATGACTTTGTTGAGCATAAAACAGCTGTCTTTCCAGTTAGACTATCAATGATTATTCACCTAAAATATTCAGGTTTCAATCTGTGCTAGATAAAAAAGGAAAGAATGATGAAGTAGGTTTGTGCATGAGATGATTATGAACTGTAATGACTTCTGAAATTCATTTCAAGTGTTATAATCTTGTTGGTTGCTCTCATCATGTAGACATTGTAGAAGGAATGGTGAATAAGGGTATCTATCTGAACGGTGATAATGGGGCCACTTTCCTTCACTTTGGCAACTATAAAGACTCCTGCATAAGTGATCCTGCTTTGTGTGGACCTGCCGGTGAGTTTTTATTGTCCTATTGTTATAGAAGTGCATGAACATCTTTATATGGTCATAGATGTATGACAGTTGAGTAATGTGTTGCTCAGGTTATACATGACATAATAAAGGCTAATGGTTCAAAATTAAGTTTATATTTCTCAAGAGCAAATATATCAGCTTACATCAAGCGCTTTGTGCGTGAAAGCTGATATCATCTGTTATTCATCTGCTCACATCAGCGCACATTCCTTTGCTCTCAAAAACAGAGAATATGTTGTATTTATATTTATTTTCCAAGGCTTGACCAAAGTAAGACTTGCAATATTGTTTGTGCGAAGCGGCCTGGATCTAATAAAGAAGCTTTTGTTTAAAGTTAGATATCAGAACGTATTGGAAAAAGAGCTTGGTTTTTGGTCGTAGCCAAAGGATTATGAAAATCAGACTTGAAAGCTTAAAGTTATTGATACATCACTCTTTGTTATTCATTTATTATTTTAAAATGTACTAATTTACATCAAATTATAATGTATTTGTAATATATTTTATGTTAAATATTATTATTAAACCTTTGTTAAAATAAAGGGAAATATAATTATTTTGAATGAATAAATGCAATTATTTTAGCATCAAATCACGGCCTAAATACTGTAAAGTACTGTATGCTGTATTATGTAGTATTTTTCTCAAAGTTTCTTTGTGTCATTGTGCTCAACACTAAAGCTTTATTTAACTCTTACTCCTGGACAGGAATAACTTTCTCCTTTTTCTGGAAAAATAATGAAGTAGATTCTCGTTTTGCGATTGCATCCGGAGGTAAAATCATCTCAAGCGGTTTCTCTGTCTACTCCAACCCTCATGGCAGATACGTGGAGTTCTACACGAGAGGAGACTCCAAGACATGGAAAGCACATATTAAACTTCCAGGTACTGTAGTTTTTAGTTGAGTGTGTGGGGGGAATTTTAGTTCAGGATGTGGAAAGGGCTTAAATGGTTTGGGGAACCATAGTATGTTGCCTTATCTTTAAAGCCAAAATAATATTTCCCATGATCTCAAAGTTTTGCTCACATGGCCTCATTTTGAAATACATTCTGGTTTGGAATTACATTTGCAGTCTAACCGTAAATATTTTGAAAATTTAGTTTTGTGCATAATTACATTGATTACATCCAGATGTCCAAAAGTACTTGAGTCGATAGGCTGCAGAATAAACTTTCTCTGTTAGACTTGACAGAGTGATTTAAATTTGTGTGAAAAGAACTGTGAAAAGAAATGGAAGTGTGAGTGAAAAAGTAGCTCAAGTCGTATCATTCAGCTGCCCGAGAAAATAATAATTTCTTTCATCTAAAATTTTTCAGTCATTTGGGGATTTGTGTCATTTCCAGAATACATCTTTAGTATCTGTAAGTGATTGTACACTACAGTTTAAAAGTTTGGGGTCAATAATATATATTTTTAAATACATCTGTGAAGAAATTAAATGCATTAAATTGTTAAAAAATTTAATTGCTGTTCTTTTGAACTTTCTGCTCATCAAAGAATCCTGAAAATATTATCAAGAGTTTCCACAAAAATATTGGTGCAACACAACTGTTTTCAGCATTGATAATAATAAGAAATATTTCTTGAGCACCAAGTCATATTAGAATGATTTCTGAAGGATCATGTGACACTGAAGACTGGAGTAATGGCTGCTGGAAATTCAGCTTTGCAATCACAGGAATACATTTTAAAATATATTAAAATAGAAAACTGTTATTTTAAATTGTAATAGTATTTCACAGTATTACTGTTTTTACTGTGTTTTGATCAAATAAATGCAGCCTTTAGGATAAAGTCAGAAAATGAACAAGATCCCCAAGTATCGTTCCTAAGACTAAAACGGGTATTACCAAAGTATAAACCAATCTTCGAAAAGAGAGATATTAAAACATTACGTACTGAGTGGGATGATGTGATGAGACATGCTCCATGTGCTATTTTATCCCTGGACAGATGAAATGAGCCATTGACAGTTCAGCTCAGAGTTTCTATATACCATGTCTTATTGGCTTCATTATAAGCTGATGAAATCCATTCCACATGCTGTCTTCAGCTCTTAGTTTCTGTTCATTTTAAACTTGTGTTTTATGGACCTAGACACTATGAGTAGATCTGGAAATAATATTACTATTATCTTTATTTCCGAACAGTCAAAACATGAAATTTGTGTATGCTTGTTTAAAACTTTCTCTCTCCTGTCATCTCTGTCTTTATCTAGGGCCCTACTGGACTCATGTTCTCTTTACATGGACCCAAACCGAGGGGTTAATGGTCTACATTAATGGGACATTCAGTGTCGGAGACCCCACAGGAAATGTTTCTCTTAACTATGGCGATCCCTATGCTGACTTGGTCATTGGCACTGGAAACACTGGGAATTACAACCACTATGCCACAGGGGCCTTTGATGAGTTTGTGATTTGGGAGAGGGCCTTGTCACCTCAGGATATCTGGATGTACTACAAAGCAGCCATTGGTAAGTTATTATGGAGCTTATTGTGACTGAAATCTGCTGTCATTATCATTTTATTTATCTATTAGTTTATTTTCTCTGTGGCAGCCTTCACTTGTCCCAACCATGTGCTTCTCTACAGTTGTCAGCCATTGCCGTTGTTGTCAGGGCTTCCCAAATTAGCTGCACTTGATCTTTGGTGTCTCTGGCTTGTCCCAACTTGCCTTTTAGCAGATGGTAGCACCCCATGCTTTTCAATATATTAAATATTCCTGGTTAATTCTGTCTTTATTCATTTGAAGTACAAGAGCAATTATGCCACTGAACAATTGAACAATAAAGCAATGCTTAAATGTATGATTGCATTAAAGGGGTGGTTGATTGCGATTTCACTTTTTTAACGTTAGTTAGTGTGTAATGTTGCTGTTTGAACATAAACAATATCTGCAAAGTTACGATGCTGAAAGTTCAATGCAGTTCACGGAGATATCGTCTTTTAAAATTATGGCAGTTTAATGCCTACAAAAACAGTTCGTAGGGACTACCTGTTTTTGACGTACCGTAAACTAGTGTGAAGGCGCACGACTCGCCGTCGCTTTACTGATAGTACTGTGTTTCTCACACATGCAAAGAGAGAGAGCGAGAGTCTTGCATACCACGCTGAATCGACGCGCTACATGTAAACCATATTCTTTGTTGTATTTTCCTGTCAAAATAACAGAGTTCATTTAGAATTATTCAGCTTTTAAGAAGAAGCAGAAGATATGCCGGTTTCTCGGCAGTGGGCGGAGCTAATGCGCGAACAGCTCTCGTTGGTTGGTGCTCATCTATTATCATCCCGGTTTTGATTTCAGCAAATCAGTTTGAGCTAACGCTGACAACGTGATTAATATTCATGAACCCAGCAGATAATAGTAGTAGTAGTAGTAGTAGTAGTATCTTTTAATAATAATTACTATTACCTATGACCAACAATATCTTAAACACCACCACCAGTCCTAAGTTCAGTTAAAATGACAAATATGCATTCATTCATGGTTACCAAGTATCAGTCTGGCGAGTAAACAAAAAATTTTACTAGCCAATGGCAATTATATTGCCAAGGTGTGCATAGAGGGTTGAATGTTCTGTGCAATCCTCTTCACCAAAATTCTCTGGGTCTCAATCGGGCTCAAATAGATAAGCAATATAGATGATGCCATTGTTTACAATACAACCGGAGCACATGCCGCTGAGGTGAGGGGAGGGACTCGTAGAGGCGCACTAGAGGTGGTTTAACCAATCACAACACACTGGACCAGCTAACCAATCTGAGCCCATTGCGTATTTCTGAGGGAGGGGCTTCATAAAAGCAGGAAATGATCAGTGCGTTTATAGGAAAAGGGACAGAGCAGTGTGGAATAAAGGTAAATTATGTGAAAAATTATGCGTTTTTTTAAAAACGAAGCATTACCACATGTAAAACTGCACCCCATAAACACAATCAAGACTAGAAAAAAAACAGTCAAACACCCCTTTAAAGTGTTATTTTTAATATTTTTGTGTTCAAAAGTTTGGGGTCAGTAAGATTTTTTTAATCAGCAAGGATGCATTAATTTAATCAAAATTAACAGTGAACATACATTACTTATAATGTTACAAAAGATTTTTATTTCAGATGTATGCTTTCCATTCATTAAAGAATCTTTTTTAAAAAACTTGTTTACATCATGGTCTCCAGAAAATTAGGCAGCACAACTGTTTTCAGTACTGAAAAAATAAGACATGTTTTGTAAGCTTCAAATCAGCAATATTAGAATGATTTCTGAAGGATCATGTAACACTGAAGACTGAATTAATGTGTTGCCATTATAGGAATAAATTACATTTTAAAATATGTTAAAATAGAACGCATTTTTTAATTGTAATTATATTCCCCAATATTACTGTTTTACTGTATTTTTGATCAAATAAATGCAAATGCAAGTAAAGTCTTGGTGAGCATAAGAAACTACTTTCAAAAACACTTAAAAAAAACACAAAAAAAAACCTTTCCAATCCCAAACATTTGAATGGTAAATCATCTAGATTAATACAAAGCAAAAACGTGTACTTTTAAGTGCCATTGGTGGAGATCATGGCTAAAAGTTGGATTTCAGAATGTTCTTTTGACTGTATGGATAAGAAACATCTGTGATGGTGCCGCTTTGCTTTTTTGCCATTATTGGAGTTATTACCCTGCATGCAGGTTATTATAGAGAGGAAAAAGCATTTGAAGACAATTTCCTTCAGAGACACTGGCCCACATTCCACCAGTCCTCAAACAAACCACATTGAAACGCACTGTTGAAATACCATTATATGTTTGTATGTGTTCTTGAAGGCAGTTTTGTTGGCTTTGTTCGTAACTGCGCATATCTTTACCTTATATGTATGTGGCGGCGGGATGAGTTTTATATCAGGGTTTTCTTTTAAACTGCAAGTGTTTGGAGACTCATTTGGGCAGCCGGTTGAAGTTTCTTGCAGGCAAGATGTCTTCAGTGTGGCAAAGACAAATTTAAGCTCCAAGAAGGCTACAAATGGTTTCCATCTTCATCAGTATCAGAGAGCAGACCCAGTGAGGTCTTTAACACCTGGAGACTATCCGTTAGCATTCCCATTAATCTCAATGCCATTTGGCAAATGCCCACCATAATGGTGTAGTTACAGAATCTGCCAGCAAGGGCTAACAGGGCCGTGCTAATTAGACCAACCTTGACCTTTTAGACCAGACAGCACAAAAAGCTTGAAGTCATGCCTTCCATTACCATATGAAGAAGATTATATTTTCTTCCAAAACTAATAAAAGAAAATTACATTAAGTACAATAGTGGACTGGTCATCTGGAAGGTCAAACCCGTAGTGATGCATTTTCATTATTTTTGTCTGTTTTCTAGTAAATATATATATATATATATATATATATATATATATATATATATATATATATATTTAAACATCCTTAACACAAGATATATTTATATATTTAGTAAAATTGGCTATATATATATATATATATATATATATATATATTTAAACATCCTTAAAACAAGATATATTTACTGGAGAAGTAAAATTGGCAAATCGCTTTTTCTTCCTCTTTTAAGCACAAAGTGTTTCTCAAACAGTAATATCCAAAAATAAATACATTGGGTCCAGTGTAATAAAAGCATCTGCATGAATGTGAAATGTAAAACCATGCTAAAATTCAATACCATCTCCATTACCTTAATTTTAAAATACATTTATATCTCAACAATTTTGTTTCTCAAGTAAATTATTTAAACTTTTATGGTGCAGCTTTACAATTTAGTTCCATAAAACATCCATACTGGCACTTTAACAAATATGGATCCATGTCTCTTTTAAAGAGGGATAATAGTGATTATGTAGGTTGATGTTGGCACTCTAGAGGAGGTATTGGCCACCACTTTAGAAACAGTGAAATATATCCTCTCACAGCGCTGATTGTTAGCCCCTGTTAGGGATGAAGACCTTTTGTTAATGATAAAAAAAACATGTTGTTGTTGAAGAAGAGAAAATCTACTGTTGTTTTGCACATATCCAGCTGTAATAGGCTCTAATGAGGGGCATAGTACAGAGTCATTAGAGAGCTGCTTTGCCAGGGGCCCTATAAACCAGCTTCACTGCAACCGACATGTGCTTTCGGGGAAAGGTATCACATGTGCCTTTCCAGCAGGTGTGAACTGTTTGTTCCGTGAGATGAAGAGTACTTGTTCAGAGCTCTTTAGATCATGGCTTCTGTGCATAGCTTTGATGTCATATTATTACAGCATTCAATTTTTTCAATTATCCTATTATGCTTTTTTTTTTTTTAAAGGGGTCATATGATGCAATTTCAAATTTTCCTTTCTCTTTGGAGTGTTACAAGCTGTTTGTGCATAGATAAGATCCCTAAAGTTGCAAAGACTAAAGTCTCAAACCCAAAGAGACATTCTTTATAAAAGTTAAGACTTGCCCACGCCCTCCTAAAACGCCTCGTTTAAACACGCCCCCACATGTCTACGTCACTGTGTGGGAAGATTTGCATAACACCGCCCAAATGTTCTTGCAAAGAAAGAAGGCTGAACTTTTATTCTCGCTGGAGTATTGTTGTTGCCGCCATGTGGTAAAGACGCTGTGTGAAAGCGAAACTACTTTGTTTGGTCTTCCAAAAGAGGACGATATCCGCTTCGTCATGCCTAGAGCTGATCCGTGCTGGTCGCTGAGGAAATACATCAACTTCGCGCTGATCGCCGGATCGGCTTTCACTGTGGACGAAGCGGAGTCCAGCCCGGGGTCGTCACATGTGGTTGCCGCAAGCCCGCCGGCCGCCGCTCACTCAAGCCCACCGTGTGTGACGCTGTGTGTTTCGTTGTGAAAACAAAAACTACTTTGTTTGGCCGTCCAAAAGAGGACACAACTCGAAATCAGTGGTTAAGTTGTATTTACAACACTGTTCCAGAACAGTTCAACCCAAATATTCAGATGTGTGCAGCGCATTTTATGGAGGACTGTTTCCTGAACCGGCAGCACAAAGGCTGTTTCTATAAAGTGGGGCAGTTCCAACTTTGCAAGGACAGTCTGGCGCTTCTGACTCACAGTCTGTAAGTAAGTTTTTTATATTTAAAGAATTTGCCACTGACGATTCAAACGCGAGTTTTGAGCAGTGTAGAGTAGTGCTTGTTGGTTGTCGTTTCTCCGATCACAAATACAGACATGGTTTTATGTTTACGCGGCGCGATACGCAACACAACGCGTAAAAAGACAGTATAAGTCATTATAATAAGTTATTATGTCCACACTGGATGCAATAAATGCCTCGTTTGAAATGGGTTTTATTGGTGTTGTCTCATCGCGCCGGGACACGGCATCACTGTATGTTAAGGGGCGTAACATTTCCGTCACACGCTTGAGGTATTCGGCCAATCACAACGCACTGGATAGCTGGCCAATCAGCATACACCTCGCTTTTCAGAACGATTAAAAATCGACACGTTTCAGAAAGGCAGGGCATAGAGGAGAAACAATAATGTACAGTATGTGGAAAATAATGTGTTTTTTGAACCTTAAACTGCATAAACACATTGCATTACACCAAATTCACAACATAATGTTCTTTTAAGCAACGTCATATGACCCCTTTAAACTATCCTATACCTATTTAATTATTCTTATTTATTTATTATATTTTTATTGAAATAAATGAAAATTATTTTATCAAATAAATGTTAGAAATATAAAAAATATATATACATACATTTAATTATATTTATTATTCGTGTCTGTTTTCTTTGCACAGTATTTAATTTATTTTTGTCACCACAGGTGAGAATGTGATGTCCACCTTCCCAACCGAAGCATCCATCAGTGTCACTGCTGCAGATACTCAGTTAAAGGTAAATTCTTCTGACCTGAGGTCACCCATTGCTCTTACTGAATCTGTTTCTGTGAGTCAGGACTGTAGTCTCCCAGATCAGAGGAGTGTAGAAAGATAACCACAGAAATACAACTTCATCACACATTACTCCAAATTCCAGGGTTATCTAAGAGATTTCACATGGCGGGAACACTCATTACAATATTCCCAAAAAACACTGAAACTTTCAGGGCAGTCATTTTGTTTGACTAATGTACGTAAATGCAAACACATCTGTAATGAGGGTAAGCACTAACCTGTCTAGCTTCTCTCGCAGCGAAAGTAAGAAATAAGTACTTGCGGTGAATTCACCAGTATCTAATTACGAAAACATGTTTGTCGTTGGTTTCTGTTAGTTTGATTAATTGAGTTCACTGAAATGAGCACAAGTACAAGGTGGGATTTCTCACTCATCAGCCTTAATCAAAACCGTCCCAGCCTGGCTAGATTAACTGCAATGAAGTCTTTAAGTTTTTATTTTTTAAGAGTTTATTTAAGCAAAATAACAACTAAAAATCCCCCAAAATACACTTCATAACCCTTGAAGGTTACTTATGTGATTTATTTATATGTCATTACTGTCTGCTAATTGCAAAAAAAAATTATAATAATTCTAACAGGTTCCTGAGTCAGTGTTATTTTTGTATCACTGATGTGCTATTATGGTTTTTGCTAATGTTTTGAATTAGATTATATTTTTATTATTTCTTTTTCATTTAAATTTTAAAGTTTTAAAAGTTTTTATCATTTGTATCATGAAGTGTAAAAACATATTGAGCTGGGATACGGGAAAGTATTAAACTTATTGACATTTACTGAAATAACTGCACACCTTTAAGATCTTCGGCGTAAATGTGAGCATATGGAGAGCAGCAGTCACCGAGAGCAATACACTCATTCTGTTGACTTCATTTGAATGCTTGTAAATTAAGTTGGCCATTCAAGACACTGACATGTTCTCTAAAGGCTCTCAGCAGTGTTTGACACACCTCCTTTTACAGGCCCTCAATCTGTCTGCTCAGATTCTTCTCTGCGCAGTAATTAAATGGAGTGGATGAATGCAGACAAACACACACACACACACACACACACAACAGGGCCTCCCAGACTACACTTCACACACCCTTGGATGATTAGGTGTTATGAAGCCAATGCAGACATCGCTCTGGGACCATCTGTGTGCGTATAGACGCACACACCCTTGGCAGACTTACAAGAGCACAGCAGGAAATGAGGTGGAGGCCGAAGCTGTAAACAAACAAATTCAGCTCTTTTGGAACTATTGTTTCCCCCCAGACTCTGAGGAAATGGAAATTAATCAGAGATTGAGCATTCGCACAAATGACAACACTGGCTGTTATTGAGTAAGGAGGTCAAGTAGAAGAGAAGATTTTCCGTAATGGCCTCTTATAGGGTATGGATGAAAAATAAGACTTTAAACAACTAGTTTGGAGCTTCTTTCTTTGGAAAGTTCAAGTAAGACCGGCATTCAGCTTTGCTGTTGACATTGACATTCACAAATCCCATGAGAATGAGATTTAATTAAATAATTTCAGCTGTTCTGTAAGCGCCAGTTATTCTGATGCTTGTTGTTGAAATGATTCTATTAAATTATGGGAAACCAAAAGAACGCCTTTATATTTTGAATGTCAAGTCCAAGCCACACAGAGCCATTACATGTGATTGTGGGTAATTTTATGGAGTGCTGTTGACACATATCCACTTTTTTGTGTGTGTTACAGAGAACCACAGAGATGCCCCGACCTGCCTCCACAAACCTGACAGAGGAAGTTCAGAGACTTCAGGACCCCATGCGGTTACAAACGCTAGACCTCCTTCAGTCATTTAACCTTCCAAACAAGACTATACCTCAGGAAACAGCCAACAATCTTACACAGGTAAAGATAGGAAGTTTAAGGATTTTGGAAATCATAATGGAACATAGAGGTATAAGAAAATAAATATTTCAGAATCTGCACTATTTTTAGGTCACTAATAGGTGAAATAAGTACATTTGTGACATGAATTGTATGATTATTTTTTACAGACAGGCATGCTTCTGTTAAAGCACAAAATGCTCTTTGGAACATCTTCAATACAATTGAATGTTACCTTTTCGATCCATATTTCAATAAAATGATTATGCTTTTATCATTTGTCTATCATTTGTCATGGAAACATTTGTATTAACTTATAAAAATACACTACACATTTTTTTAAGATAAACTACCATACAAAATGTTTTTTTTAATTAAAGAAATAATGCTTTTTAGCAAGGACAAATTTAATTAATTAGTAGTGACAGTAAATAATTTTTTTATGGTATTTTAAATAAACACTGTTCTTTTGAACTTTCTATTCATCAAAAAAAACTCAAAAGATCAAAACATCTCAAAAAATGAATTGCAGCATTTCAGCATCAATGTTTTCAGCACTGATGATGATAAAAAAGTTTCTTGAGCAGCAAATCATTATATTAGAATGATTTCTGAAAAATCATATGACACTTAAAGCTGAAGTAATGGCTGCTAAAAATTCAGGTTTGCATCATAAAAATAAATTACATTTTAATGTATATTACAGCAGAAAACTTATTTTAAAGTTTAATAATATTTTGTAATATTACTGTTTTTAACTATGCTTTATTCTGCCCTGCATGTTTTAGTCTCTACTGAAGAGCGTGGATGAGGTCATAACTACCAGCGACTGGAGAGAAAATGATGAGGTACGTTTAATGGATAGATTGATGATTGGAAAGATATAAAGATTCTATCAGTCCATTCATTCATAAGTAGGTCCAGATGAATCTGCAGACTTTTTTTGAATTCTGAAAGAATTCAAACATGGTAAAATGTCTTAAATGGAGCTGAAGGTACTACACACTTATTAGTAGCTGAAAGAATCATCTGGTTCTTATTTGTATAACCTCAATGATTCGTAATATACTTTGGACTTGTCTTTTGTCATGGTAAACAGTGGAGTCCAGTGGTCAATGGGCTGGTGGAAACGGTGGATAAAGTGATGGTGCATATGGCCTCCAAGCTTCGGTCCAGCCCAAACGCAGTGGCTCCTCTGGCTATAGGGGGCAAGAGCTCTGTAGCGGGTCAGTACACACTCCAAAACACTTCTTCAAACTTCCATTTCCAGAATATCAGTTCTTAGAAATTCACACTTCCTCCCCTTCCTCTACATACATGACTGGCTTGAAGTACGTGGAGTATGTCCAAGTATGCTCACAGGGGGACGTGTACCTAATCCATATGCATGAATGCAGCATACCGGGTGTGAAACATGAAACATGACTTGAAAAAGCTAAATAGCCATATGTTGCAGCTGCTTTTTATTGTGTTTTATTACTACATCTCCTGTTTTTTATACAGTGTAACATATATGAGAAACAGTTGGTACAAAATTCATTTTTAATGATTTTAAATAGTCAGAAGTGCCCCTAGGTTACGAATCACACAAAAATCTGCATGTCTATCATGTCTGAAAAAACGTAACATGAAATGAATTAGATATGGGTCGTAACATCTCTTGATCTGCTCTGTTCAGATTCAAAATGATAAGTCTTGCTGAAGTCTCAATTCTGAATCAGGCCCTCTGAGATTCCACGCTTTAGAGTCAACTCTGTCTCTGATCCTCCTTTTGCTATGATAAGACTTGTGTGTGAGAAGCAGAGGTCGCTTGAGAAAACTTTTTGGGTTGCATGAGATATTATTGAACTTCAATGTTACAGTCAGTGAATGAAGCATAAATAAATGCAAGATCACAGATGAAAAAAAGAACAAGAGATGATTGAGAAAAGACTTCCCATAATATTATTTGGATGGCGCCCTGCAATAGCTTTGGCACGATACCAACTTTTAATAGAATATACTGTACCAGTAGTTTACAGATAATTTCACAATTCTCTGTGTGAGTTTTAATATCACTAGAAAAGTGAATATGCTGTTTATCCTTTATTTTAAGTTAAACTGTTCACCTCTTATGTTTGGTGAAAAATACAGTAAAATTATTGTGAAAAAACAGTTGTTATGCTTAATATTTTTTTGGAAACCATGATACATTATTTCAGGATTATTTGATGATTTGATACATTTATTTCAAATTGAAATCATTCCTAATATTATAAATGTCTTTGCTGTCATTTTTAAAACAATTCAATGTAGCTTTCAAGTATTTATTTCAATTATGTAAAAATTGTTTCAAGTTATTCAGACAATTATTCAGAACATTACGGCCTGTAATAAAAATAAGTTGCAAATTACAAGCAACAGAGCTAATATACAGCTGAAGTAAACAGTGTTGACCGTGTTTATATTAAAACCTCACAAATATTTGCACCAAAATGTGCACACATGTAGCCGCTTGTCACAGAGTAATGTATGTGAGATTTTGTAACAAGCTGCCTTTCAGATGGTGCACAGTTTCCAAATACATTCAGAACTCAGTACCACTGACTTGGTACCAAAATGCCGGTCTTTTTGACATTCTTGGAAGTGATGCAATATCAAAGCAACAGCATACTTACTTTGAACAATGACCCATCTTTTTTTTATGTGTCTAGATTACTCTCTGATGAAGATCCCTCAGAACTACAATCTGCAAAGCTACCGGTTCCCCACACAAGGGAAGAGTTACATCTCAGTACCAGGAGAGGCCCTCACAATGCAGTGTGAGTAACCCTAAAATCTGGCGTTGATCCACGTCCTGGGGTCTCATTTATAAAACTCTTCGTTAATTTAATTCTAAAAGTTTTCATGTGTCATGTGTAAAAACCATGTGTACGCCAGAACCTGCGCACTAACCTACGGACTATAATGATATTTGTGCCATACACATTAAATGTTATTGCAAAAAAATATCCAGTATCCTTGTTATGTTTTATAATAAATATATGAAAATATCCATAAAAACAAAACAGCTGAAAATAGTTCTCAGATATATTTTAGAATAGAGTTTATCTCATTCTTTTACACAGGCCAAATAGTATTTCAGTTGTTTTAAACAATTAAAATTTAATTAAATATATGCAGTTTTGCTGATAAGGTGAACATTTTGAGTGGAAACAGATAGGCCTATATTTATCGCAGTGTAAATACAATTGTATGACTCGGCGCATGACAGTATTTTAAAAAGGAAATGTGCAAATCTTACCGTTTTCTTCTAGTTGTATCCTTCAAATACAGTGGTATTTTTCATAATGTTGGGGAGATGCCTTCACATGACATCAACACCACCATGCAGATGCGGTTGTACAGTAAACTATTATCATTGGTCCTATTCAAACCAGAGAATGGACCGTTCGACCACCGAATTCAGCAGTTCACCATAATATCGAAGTAATTGCGCATCATTGATCATTGTTCTCGCTAAAAATATTTTCTCGTATCATAAGATCTGCAGTTTAGTTTAAATATGAATTATTGGGCACCTACAGTATAGCACTCCTCGCTGTTATTAAAACAGGAAAACTGATCGAGCGCATCCACTATATGTCTAAATTCATATTTTTTTTAACTTCTGCGTATTGACTTTGTAATTTCAGTGCTTATCTCCATTAATGAGAGTTGAATATTTAATGCAAATACATATCAAAGTGAAAACAGAGTTTAAAATCTTTTACTTCATTACTTTTTTCACTCAAAAAGAGTTTGTACGCATGGTCTAGAATGTCCGTACGGTTCATACATATTTACGGCAAGTTTATTTCTTATAAATCAGGATATGTGCATGGAAAATTGCTTACGCATATTTATATGCCCATTTTGTGCGTACGCAACATTTATAAATGAGACCCCAGATCCTGCAGTTTTATGTTAATGAATGTTTATTACTGGAGTTGGCACATTTTATTTGATTTGATTTAGTGAGTTCACTGTACCAGAGTGAAGGTTTTCCTGTGCCGCCCTGGAGAACAGTGGCTGTCTATGTCGCCAATGCTGTCCACTACTAGCTAATGGGATAAATCATGCTTAAAGTAGCAAACTTTAATGCTTTTCCACTCTCTTAACCACAATTTAGCCGTAATGGGCACAATGGAACAAACAAAACCTGGACTGGAGCATAGAAATATGAAATGGGATGGATTGCTAAACAAACTGCCAATCATATTTTATTTTTTGAATAGAACGTTGTTGTTCTGAATCATTCCTACCCATGTGCGCGCACACACTTCTCATTGCTTTTGGACACCTCAGGCTGGGGTGAAAGAACACATTGTTTTCATAAGAGGAGGATGAGGGACATTTATTTGTTATCTGTTTATTTGTTGTTTATGGCTGAAGAGGACAATGCAATCAACTCTGATGACTTCCTGCTGCTCTCTGACGAAAACTGCCAATCACACAAGTCCCTCAAGGAGAGTTTCATTAAAAACAGAGAAAGTGTGTGCATTTGCCTTCTTTTTTATGTGTAAATGCGAGCAATAGTTGAAGAGTGAGTGTTGCAATGTTTCCCATGTGGTGGCGTTAATTATGAGGGCATTAAATGTTTTGTTTGTTTGACAGCGTTTTGGGGTCAGCTCCCCTCGGCTCCTCTGGCACAGTGCTGAACCTGAGCCCCGCTCTGTTCATTATAAACAGTTTTAATAATCTATTAAAGCGCTATTATCAAAAATGGCACATAAACGCTAGCACTGGCATTAACGTGCCACTGAACTGCTTCTCCTGTGCAGCCGGACATATGGTACACTTCATTATCAGAACCTAGCAGAGCTTTTATACGCCAATTATAGACCGCAAGAGAAGGAGCGCATTGAAACGCTCTGTATTTCCGCTGGACCAAGTTTCTTTTGGTCTTAATAAAAACATTTGTAGAAAGATTTTGCCCATTGATTTGTGAGGTTATTGGCCCAGAGTTCATCTGAAACCCAACTCAGAGGAGTTAGTTGGGACACATATTGCATATTCGGTCCGTTAACACCTGTAAAAACACTAATAAGTTGCAACAGTTCTCAGCATGTTTCACAATAACAAAAACTGCGAATAACAAAAAAGGTTTATTCTAAATTACTAAAACTGAAATAAAAAATAAAAACTAGATGAAGATAACTTATAGAAGATAAATATAGATAAATAGAAATAAAAAATAATACAAAATGAGAAAAGCACATAATACAACTATTGAAACCAAAACTAAAATTAAAATATAAAATACATTTTTAATTATGTTTATTTAAATAATATTTACATTTTAAATATTTATTTTGTGTGGGGAAACTGCTTGCTCTTTTTTTATACTAAAAATGATACTTTAATCCCAATCATAATGTAAGTTATTTATACTATAAATTGTGCGGCTCTAATTCAAACCCTGATGAAATGATATTGCCATATCCAATGGTCCACAACAGTTATTTTACTGTTATTGAGGTTATTTACACAAATTCTTCAATCAAATTATGATAGCAATGATTGTGTTTTCATGTGAATACTGAAGTTGAACTCAAAGGGAAATGGCCCTGTGTGTTTATCATTAGTAGAGTGTAACATATTTCTCCCTCACACACGAGGTGGTCCCTCATTGTGCTCTACTTGCATGTGTGTGTGAACACACATCGTTCCCATTAGAGCTACAGAGAGAGGACTGCATGCAGTGTCTGTGATAATGAGTCTATCCTCTCTGTGCATTTCAACGGCAGCCCAACACATTCTTCAACACACGCATGCATCTGTGTGATCAAATGTTAATACTTTTGTATGTTTCCCCTGCAGCTCAGACCATGATCGTGGGACTTTTCTACCACAAAATGCACAACTACTACAGAAAAATCAGCCCTCTACAAACAAGGTAAAGTGTTTGTGTGTGTGTGTTTCCTGCTGTACATCATGTTCTTGCGAGCATGTCTTTATCACTCTGGTTCTCTCTCATCTGGGCCTCTGCGTCTGATACTCCCAGCCATTAAGTTGGCTGATAACACTCTCTTTCCATCTTAACACAGCCATGATCAGTACTTATCTCATTTTTTTTTTTTAACACAGCACTGGAACTCAGCTGGCCTTTTTTATGTAACTTAACTGGCCACCAGAGCTGAGAGATGATGCAGGGTAAATTCTTTATTTAAACCTTAATGAAGTGAGTGACGTGACATGTGGCCAAGTATGGTGACCCATACTCAGAATTAGTGCTCTGCATTTACCCATCCAAAGTGCACACACACAGCAGTGAACACACACAAACCGTGAACACACACCCGGAGCAGTGAGCAGCCAATGCTGCGGCGCCCGGGGAGCAGTTGGGGGTTCGGTGCCTTGCTCAAGGGCACCTCAGTCATGGTATTGAAGGTGGGAGAGAGCGCTGTACATTCACTCCCCCCACCTACAATTCCTGCCGGTACGAGACTCGAACCCACAACCTTTGGGTTATGAGTCCGACTCTCTAACCATTAGGCCACGAACATTAATGAACATTAATTAAACATTTAAACATTAATGAGAACCCAAAATTAAGTCAATACAAATGTTATATGTGCTATCAACTATATAGTGTCCCAGACAGACTGTCAGTTTGTGCATTTTTGGTGTGTTACATCCTTACACCAGTAGGTGGCGACAAGAGACTGTCTTTATAAGTGAGTCGGTGAATCATTCATTCATCTGATTTGTTCAAAAACACTGCTTCATGTAGCAAGGAAACAAGTGAGTGAATGCATCCGAAAATTGCACAATTCACAAATGTAAAAAACAGTATGTGGAAAGAGTATTACTGCTGCTTAGAAACAATCTTTATTGTATAAAGCGCTATAAAAATAAATGTGGCTTGACTTAAAAACACTGATTCATTCATTAAGGAACAAGTAAGTGAGTCACTGAGTCATTAGCTCAACAGATACATTTAGAAACATTGATTAACGCAGGAACAAAACAAACGCCACTACTGTTGCTCTGAGATGCTGAACAGTTGATTCTGCTGTGACTTAGTCCCAATCCCAATTCTACTTTTTACCCCTTCCCCTTCCCCTACCCCTCTGCCTACCCCTTCCTCTTGTCCCTTGAAACAGAATGTCAAGGGGTAGGGGTGAAAATATGTCCCTAAGAATTGGGACACCACTACTATACATCACACGTCATCATACGTTGTCTAGCTCCTACAATACACACACACCTATGCTGGTGTGCATTAGAGCCTTTAATTACCATTCTATATTAATGTGCTGCTTACTGACACACACACACACACACACACACACACACACACATATCAGAGATCGCACAGCTCTCACATCCAGGAGCAAAGAAACTTGTCAACGGTGCCCCACGACTTTTATTAATAACAGTTTAAATACTGAATCGCTACATTATATTTTCCAGCAACGAGAGGATAAAAGCACTGTTTTTGAAGTAAACTCACTCTAAAAAGATAAACGCAGAGACGCGCATACACGCAACTTTCAGCTCTCTTTCTCTCGAATTGGCAATATTTGAGAAAAGGGTTCAGCCATTTCTAATTATTGGGGGGACTAGCCCTCCTCAATGTCTACGGTGGTTATTGCCCTGATCAGACATTAAAATATGTTGTGGCACTATCGTGCAGTCTGTAATGATATGACGTTAGCAAACTTAAGCGATTTTTTGCAAACATTTCTTTGAGTAACATGACCGTAAATATGAACTCACGATTGAATGTAACATAAAACAAATTACTTTTCGTTAAAATTTTTATTAATGCCAAAAATGCTTACATTTATGTGTCTTTTTATTCGCTCAGGTAGCCATGTTGCTTGACATGAAGCCGGTTTACGCTGAGATAATTCATAGGCCTACCCCTTCGTTTGAAGTGTGGTCCTGAAAAATCTTTGTTTGAAGGGCTATCTGGCCCTTCCCCTAACCCTACCCCTCCAACCAAAAGAGAATCGAGACACCCCTACCCCTTCACATGAATGCGTGAAACGGAGGGGTAGCGGAAAGGGGAAGGGCTAAGGGGTAGAATTGGGATTGGGCCTTAGTTTGAAACAATTTTCATTGGGAAGGCAAAAACAGACAATGTAATTGAATAATGTAACTGCCAGTAATTACCTCGTTTAATGAACTGTTCTATAAAAACAAAACCACAATCTTGCTGTATTTCTGTTTTGATATGATTATTGTTATCTTAATATTATCATTACTTGTTTCTTTGCAGATAACTGTCATTAGCATAAGTTTCTTTGCTCATTATGTAGAATTTGTACAGTAGTTTGAAGGGTAGACAATAACCGACTGTCCATCTCTGCAGGATAAATGAGGCAGTGGATTTTAAAGATCATAAGATCCAAATGGCCAGTCATCTTATTTCTCTGAAGGTGGAACCGTCACCTGCCCTGTCATTCAACCTGTCCACTGAGCCACTGATCCGGATCGTCCTCGCACATCAGCTGGTAGGAGAACATCAATCCTCACCTCATTTTGTTGATTTTGGCTTTCAGTCAGGAGTGTGGGTGCTTGTGTGTGTTTGTGTGTATTACAGGTATTTAGTACATTTGGAAAATTATTATATTTAAAGAATTGTATTTTGCTTGACGAAGGTGCCAAGAAATATTGTGCACTATAATGGCTTTAGGATCAAGCAGAAAATTCTACCAACCATTTCATTTAGCAGTGAGCTGAACAAACACACTCACACTCATCAACCAACATCTGGCCTTCAGTTAATCAGTTAGACCGAATGTAATTAACATAATAAATTCATATTTATGACCCAATCTGGCCTGGCAGATTCAGAACCAAGCCGGTCGCACAAAGTAAATTTCCCGAGAAGAGAAGACATGAACAACAGAAAAGAAGAAATGTGGTTTTTGCACACAAAAATATTCTCACAGCTTCATAAAATTAAGGTTGAACCACAGATGTCACATGGACTATTTTAACAATGTCCTTACTAGCAATGTCACGATACCAAAAATCTAGTAGTCTGTACCGATACCACTAAAAATACACGATACTCGATACCAAGTCGATACCACGGGGGAAAAAATAACAATAATACTTAAACATTAGTGGCACTTGGCCTTCAAATAACACACACACACATACCTATACTCTAAATGCAAGCATTAGTTTAAATTCACTGACATACTGGCAGGCCGAAAATATTTTTTTAAACAATTAACATAAACAATTATTTAAACCAGTAATATTAGCCAATAATGTTAATAAGAATAATCAGCGGGATGCTACACAATGAATGAACAAGGTCAGTAACTTTATGTGTGTGCGTGATCATGCGCAGCGCTCGTGCTTTCAGAGCTGCGTACTCTCATTTAAATCTAACACAATCATATTCATATATCGTCGCCATCTTCCACGTGTAGTATTTCTGTGTGCTTGTTGTAGGCATTTTTTCTTCTTTACCCTTTGAGGTCCGACTGAAACACTTCCAGACGTATGCTCTGCCTGCCCCCATCAGTTCCGGAAGAATTGCAGCCTCGCTAGTCGCTACCTTCGGTACCATCGGTGCTTACGCTACTGAAGAAAAACAAGTACAGGCAGGATTTTAAAATGTTTATACCGATTTGGTACCATAGTATTGGTTCTCGTGACATCTCCTAGTCCTACTACCTTTCTGGGCCTTGAACGTGTCAGTTACGTTGCTGTCTATGCAGGGTCAGAAAGCTCTCTATCTTATTTTGTGTTCCAAATATGATCAAAGGTTTTACAGGTTCGGAACAGCTCGAGGGTAAGTAATTCATGACAATTTTCATTTTTGGGTGAACTAGAGACTGATGAGATTTCTAACGTATCCCCACACATTTCAGGCCATCTGTGACAGTGTATTCTGAACATTGAGGTTTGATTGATACATAGATTTCTTCTGAGACTTTTGTCTAACCAGAATCATCCCTTTATGTTTCTTAAATGGAACAGAAATGTTTCTTAATATGTTGGAGGAAAACTTTCAAAGACCACTTTTTTTTGCTGCCGTGTTTGTGGTTTTGTCTTTCGGTGAGCCGTGTTACACAAGAACCCCAGAGTTCAAAACTGCCAGGACTAACCATGGAAATCCATTTTGGTTTGCATCATCCCTTGCGCTCATTTTTTTTTTTTCAGCTCTGAAACATTGAGAGCTTTGCGCCAAAAGAAAAGTGGTTCTGAACGCTGGAACCATAAGCTTTGAGGTCTTTTGAGAAGGGAAAGATGATTTGGTTTAACAAGGAGCTTATTTGGCGTGTGTGCGCAGATGCTACAACTCAGTCGAGAATGCATCTGTCTGCCAAATTTCCATGGGAAACCCATCAAAAATGGATACAGATGGCATGTAGACAAGTTAACCAATACAGCATGTTTTTGGAGAGTTTTTGAAAAAACAGCAAGGAGTTCACCGTAGCATTGGATTTCACACACCACGTTACACACGTTATTCATCAGCTAACCCACATTTGACAGCTCACCATGCTCTTGACCATTACATAAGATCTTCTAACCTTTGCAGTCTGTCATAATAACCCTGCTAAACAATGACTTTTTCATTAAATAAACAAGAAACTCATATACAGCGTAATTCCCTCAAAGAAAAAAATATTTAAATGAGCAGTCGTTTCTTTTTTCATTGTTCTTATTTAAAGCATTTTTAGAGCCTTCTAAATCAAAACCATGCTGGCATGCATGTAACTATAGAGACGTTTGTTTTGCTGGCTTTTTATGGTTTTGTGAGAGATGTTTATTTCAGTGATGTTTGTTGATGGAAATGTGTCTTTGTACAAAGACCATTATGCTAAATGAAAGGAGCCTGCTAAAAGAGTAAATCCAGAAACATGCTTAAAGGGGTAGTTCACCCAAAAAGGAAAGTTGTCATCATTTACTCAACCTCTCCACTTGTTCCAAACCTTTTATGACTTTCTTTCCTCTGCTGAACACAAAAGAAGATATTTTGAAGAATGTTGATAACCAAACAGTTGACAGTAGCCATTGACTTCCATTGTTTTGTTTCCTTTTTTTTTTATCTTTGCATGTCCCTGCTACATATTATTTTCATTTCCTTTGGTCATAGTTTGAGTGATGGTCTAATTAATCTGGGGACACAGGCTTCCTGTGTGTGGGACTGTCCAGAACAGAGGCATTAGTGTCAGGCTAGTGTTTCATGAGTAATGTGTGTGAGCTGAATCACCAGATCAATAATCTGTCACTGCATCTGTGATGGAGTACAGTGATAAGACTGTTTAAGTTAATGGTCTCTGTGTTGTGTTTTAGCCAATGTCTTGTTAGGTAGAATGATTCAACAATGGTTAAACATTAGAGAATTAATTATAAGTTGTCTGTGGTTTTTTTCGAGGGTGCCGCTGCTTCTCACTGTAAATTTCCCCTCTGATCAGAGCGAGACTTGTGTTGGTTTGTTGCCTTTGAACTACACTATAGAACTACACTACATATTTTCAGCTGTTCAAGGAGTAGTTTTGTCAACTGTTTGGAAGCCCTTTATAATTAATTTAATTTTGGATCATGTCCAACAGACACTGTTCAGGTGCATTTCTTTGCAATAAACACTAACATGCAGTTTGGGGTCTGTAAATGTATTTATTTATTTATTTTTAATTTGTTTCTTTTTATAAATCCTTCTAAAAAATGTTTCTTTGTTCACTATGGCTGCATTTATTTGATAAAAACTTACTAAACCCTAAACTATAAAGACAGCAACAATCCAGCAACTATAAGCAGCAATTACCTCATCTCTCTTCTCCTTTTCTTCCCTCTCCACTCCTCACCTGTCTCGTCTCTCACTGCTGGATCACATGGCACTAGGTGAACAAATGGAAAGAGTGATTTCATGAGGAATGCTGGCGATGCTCAGTGTTGAAATCAAGAGGATTAAAAAAAGATTTCTGACAAGCTCTCGCTGCCTTTACAACCTAATAAAGCTTCAGCGGAGCGGACACGAAACAGAGACGCCACGCATACTGAGTGTGAGCGCAGGTCTGTCGTGCTGTGTGTGAGCGTGTACTTGCACTCATATGTTTACGCTAACCAAAGACGTTACTTGAGGCTGTTTATTCATTTTAATACAATTAACCTCCAAATCCGACGTGTATATGAAGCAGCCTGGACTGGCTTAATGTAATCATCCATTGTGTTCATGTGACTGTGGTTTTGTGTCCAGTAAAGATGTTTATGGGTGAATTACAGAACCACAAGCAGTTTTTTGTCCAGAAAATATTTCCGATGTGGTTCAAATATAATCAGAGGTTCACACAGCACTAATGGCATTACAACTTATAAAAAAATCTCACCAAGTCTGACACACATTTTGATTGATGACTTTTGTTGTCTACATACAGGTGCATCTCAATAAATTAGAATGTTGTGGAAAAGTTAATTTATTTCAGTAAATCAACTCAAATTGTGAAATTTGCAGTGTATTAATACTCGTGTATTAAATAAATTAAATGCACACAGACTGAAGTAGTTTGAGTCTTTGGTTCTTTTAATTGTGATGATTTTGGCTCACATTTAACAAAAACCCACCAATTCACTATCTCAACAAATTAGAATATGGTGACATGCCAATCAGCTAATCAACTCAAAACACCTGCAAAGGTTTCCTGAGCCTTCAAAATGGTCTCTCAGTTTGGTTCACTAGGCTACACAATCATGGGGAAGACTGCTGATCTGACAGTTGTCCAGAAGACAATCATTGACACCCTTCACAAGGAGGGTAAGCCACAATTATGGAGTATTGTCAAGAGGAAAATGAGAAACAAGAGAACAAAAAATGCAGATGAGCTGAAGGCCACTGTCAAAGAAACCTGGGCTTCCATACCACCTCAGCAGTGCCACAAACTGATCACCTCCATGCCACGCCGAATTGAGACAGTAATTAAAGCAAAAGGAGCCCCTACCAAGTATTGCGTACATGTACATTAGATGAACATACTTTCCAGAAGGCCAACAATTCCCTAAAAATGTTTTTTTATTGGTCTTATGAAGTATTCTAATTTGTTGAGATAGTGAATTGGTGGGTTTTTGTTAAATGTGAGCCAAAATCGTCACAATTAAAAGAACCAAAGACTTAAACTACTTCAGTCTGTGAGCATTGAATTTATTTAATACACGAGTTTCACAATTTGAGTTGAATTACTGAAATAAATGAACTTTTCTATGACATTCTAATTTATTGAGATGCACCTGTAGTACAGTTAGGTTTTTATTTTTTTGTTAGCAACTGTTTATTGAATTTTCTTTTGGGAATAGCAATATAAAACAAAAAGCAACTGGGCAAATTTAATACCCACCCCAACCCTGGTAGACTTAAAAAAAAAATAATAATAATAATAATAATAATAACAATAAATATGTATATAAAAATAATAATAATAATAAATAAATAAAAATAAATAAATAAATAGTAATAATACAAATAAATGAATTAATAATAATAGATAAATAA